CTGCAGATGTTTAATTTGCTATGAGGATTTGTCTCAGGCAATGATTGCCAACCATTCGCAGGTATTTTGTTTGTTGTGGAAATTCATATGGTTGTTATAGTTACAGTTGTCTCATTTCATGTTTGGGAAATTGTTTCTGTTGGTTATAATAGTTAACAGTAACTGTTCACCTATTCAGGATATTGTGACCAGTGTTTTATGTAGTGAAAGAAATGGACTTCTTCATCTCAGCATCATTTGTTGCATGTCAGCTAGATGTCTCATACTTGGAATATCATCATCATTACTAGGTTGAAATCCAGAGCACACTCCTGTCCTATCCTTTACCCAACCTGGATAAATGTGCCTGGATTTAGGTTTGGATAGGCTTTCCTCTCCCTCCCCCCTGCTACCCTTCTCAGTTGAGTTTGTTCATTTTCAGTATGTTCCTTTATAAACAAACCGTTGGCTCTCTTCCATTGAGACCAGTGGTTTGATTCTTCTGTCTGCATGCCATTTTCTTCATTTTGGCTTGGATCTTTTGTTCTATTATTGTGTTCTTTGTTTCTACCAATAGTTCTGTGTTTATGTATGCATGTGTATTAAGTGTAAGATTTATAGAATATAAATGTGATGATAATGTAACTACAGATTGTAAAGTTTACGTGCAACAATGGTGTAACTTGTTTTGAATCTACAGTACCTCAAGAAGTAATATTTTTTTTTTCTTCCATTTCCTCTGTCTTCATGATATAAAACCTCCATGATTACTTGCATTGTAATAAAGAGTTTAATCCCCATTAAGGACATTATAAAAATATTTTAACTGTTACTGCTTATTAAACAAATATGGGTCAGAAGTTTATTTTTCTAGATGTCTGTTGTGTTAATGTTTACCTCACTCTATAGTGATTTTTTAGAACATGTTTATATAAGTAGGATGTTACTACTAGACACACACAAAAAGGTGGGTGTTCATTGTTGGCAGCAGAGCATAAGCAACCGTGTGAAAAAATGTGCAGCCAATCCACATCAGTCAGAATTTGTGATCAGTAGTGTATGCTTTCCCGTGTTGTATACATAACCTAACCTTTTGTAAAAATAAAGTGTTTTTGGTAGTGTTTTGTTTTAGTAGCATTTTTATGCATTTTAAGTTCAGACATCTGGGGAACTATTGTCAGATTTTGCTCAAGGAACCATAACGCTTTCTTCTTATGGTGTTTAATTATTTCAAATAAGAAGCTGACAGAGTCTCTAAATATTGCTGTTTTCTAAGCTGTCTGCTGTGAAATTTGATAGATAGGTAACAGAGTTTGAGGATAACTATTCATGAGGTGCTTGGTTTTAACCTCAGCTGGAACAGTGGTTTATCCCAATGGTTTCATGGATTTTACAGCTCTTCCAGGCAAATTCTAGGAAAATATGTCAAGTAGGCCGTGACCATTACCAATTTATCAGATCCCTATATTTGACATTATGTAGTCTAGATACTGAAGCATTGTAAAATAAACTGCAAAGATGTTAACAATAAATGGACCGTAGAAAGTTATACCTGAAAGTACCTTTAAAAAATAAAATGATAATTACTGTTTTCTGGTATATGACACGATATAGTGTGGTAGATATATAACCAATGTGCCAGAGGAACCGGCCTGCTACCTACATCTTCTACCCTCCAGATGGAGAGAGCAGATTCCTCAAGAAGTTGGTTATGGTCTACCAAACTACACAGTATCACATACAAAGAAGAGGGTAATCTTCAAAGTCACTGCTGTGAGAACCTCAGACCTTAACAAAAATCAGTATGTATTCTAATAACTGGTATGAGAGTCAAGTATAATATAGAATTACCAAGTTGTTTTGGAGGTTGCATCTGTAAATTATAATAGAAAATTCAAAGTTCTGCATGTAATATACCATTGCTGCATCTCAGTAAACTGATGCACCTGTAGGTACAACATTGTGAATTGAAGAGTTTTGTACAACAAGGAAGAAGCCCCAAGAGAAAATTTAATAATGGTTCACTGATATCTTTCAATTTAGCTAGCACACCAAATACTCTGATAAAATAAATCATGTGAACTAATTTGTGAACCAGCAAATTACATCAAACAAAGTTTTTCACCCAATTCATGCAGAAGCATTTTGACACGAGTGGAGCTGTGTCTTTCTGTACAGAACTGTTTGATTTTAATCTTATGTTACAATTTAAATGTTTACAGCAAAATCTCTTGTACGTAGAAACATCACAATCCAGTATGCACGAGGGAATTTACTATCGAGTTGCCATTACCATAGTTTAACTTTTGTCATACTGGTGTAATCTGTAGTGGACTTTCTAGTACACTCTGATAACAATTTTCCAGAATCTCCATTGTTGAAGGAATGGCTAGAGATTATATTGTTAGCCACACAGAAACAACTTTCAGATTGTTAGACTGAACCTCCAGGTTTGGTTTCGGGGCCAGTCATACTTGCAAATACACTGTTAAACCATTTTGATGGTTCTTATCATTGGAAGTTTTTGTGTTTAAGTATGGCCAATTTTGAATGAAGCTCTTGATATTAGGAAACAACCACACTGACTGCGTATACTTCATGTTGAAACATGAGGCCACTTAGTTCTGTGTGTTTTTGCTTCTCTATTGTTTTCCTGTCTTCCATGTACTTACTGTTACAGACTTTTTATATTTTTATCTCCCTTATAAAGATTTATTCAAGAGATTTTGCTGTACGTGTTATTGTCTCATTACTCTAGGAAATGATCAAATGCAAGTAATTGAACTTCCCTCTCAGAATATCTGTGTATTTTGACTGCCTCATAGCTATTATTGTTGTTTGATATCAGCAGCTCTGAATTAATGGTGTAAAGTTACATGCCCATTTTATCGAGCAGTGGAAACTGGATTTATGAGCTATTCTTTCTCTGGCTCTGAAAGTTGGAAAAAGTAAGGGATACTTGAACTAAGTTTAAGAGGACATTAATGCAGAAGTTGGGGGTATTTTAATGTTCGCCATGAATACATTCTATTACATGTTATGTGGGATAATGAAATAATTCTCATGTATATCAAGTTGCGTGGGGCATGCAGTAGCGTAGTTGGTTGAGGCACTATGTTACAAGCCGGAAGGTTGCAGGATTGAATCCCGATGAGGTGGATTTTTCAATTGACCTAATCCTTCCAGCTGCACTATGGCCCTGGGGTCAACTCAGCCTCTAACAAGAATGAGCACCAGGAATCTTCTTTGGAGGTAAAGGGCTGCCAGCTCGTAAGGCTGACAACCTTACCGCCATCTGTGAGCTGATTGTCTAGAAAATGTGGGAGCCTCGACATCTCACAACCCTATGGGTCTCTACGGCCTGTTAAGGGGATAGCTTTACTTTATATATCAAGTTCCGTACCTATAACACTAATCATAAGGGTTCTGATGTAAATAATAAAGCAGAGGTAGAATAGGCACAGCCTCTAATAGTGCAGTGAGGTGAACCCTATTTTCAGAATGAATAGTTTTATCAGGTCTGTAGACAGAATCATGTCAATTTCTGTCATGTACATAATATAGGCATACCTCACAGGGTCAGAGATACAAGAACTGGACTGCACATAATTTGTATGAAAAAGGTGATCCTTTGTTATGAGCTAGAATTCTCATAGTGAGGATATGAAGACTTATATCTTCTGGGGTATAACTATATGTAGTCAACTGAAAAGCAGCTGATGTTTTGGAGGAACATGTCAAAGAATAAACTAAGCAAGACACTAGCATGAAGCAGGTAGCAAGCTCAGCTTGGCTTAAACTTTTACCCTGAAGATGGAGGCAGCGTGCTCTTCCAAAACATCGAGCTGTCTCCAAAATACATGGTGTTACAACCCAGAAGACTGTACACTTCATAGTCACTCTGTGGAATCCTCAAATCAAATGAAGATGATTTATAATGAAACACTGGCAAATTTAGATGCTGCACCCACATGGATCCCACAAAGTATATGGAGGTAGTAACTGGCTTTGAGTCAGCTAGGCATCATGGGAAGTTCAGTCTTCCTCATTGCCTTTTACCAAGCATGAGTTGTAATGTGAGGAATTGTTCAGAGGGTTCAGAAAGTATTGTTTTTGGAGATTGCTACCTTGCCTAAAAGATTTCCTGGTTTACCTCTGTTCTTCTAACCTATGAGATTTCTTTTTATGTAACCTTTGAATTAACCCCTATCTTCCAATCCAGGTGAGTATATATATAGCAGATATATTGTCATGCTATTGTCATTGAATAAATTCAGAGCTGATTTTGACTTCTCTTACACACGATAATAATTAAATGTATGTATAGTTGTAAATTCAGAAACTAATTTATTTAGATGTACAGGTTGGAAAATATGTTGATCATTTCCAGAGATAAAGAGACAAAGTTGAACTACCTTTAGAACTGTTTATCTATTCCAAATTTAACCTTAAAATTATAGCACAGTTTTCACTGTTAAAAAAATTAAATTTAAAATCTATAATTAACAGAAGTTCTAATACAGTGATTCTCAAGTATGATCACCAAGTGTTTTATTGATTTGTAAATTATCAGAAGTAATCAATGAGTTGTTAACCAAAATTCATTCCAGTTTTGGGATTTTTACCTTTGTTTATCAAATTGTAACCTAATTTTTTTATTGTTTGGAAACATCCACAGCAAAGTGTTAATCTGTAGTGTAATCTTCTGTCTATGACAGGTGTTACATTCAGCCATGCAGCCACAATAAATTATTTGTTTATGAATGTGGTCGCCACGTATTTCTTTTCATTTCTTCCTTTCATTCACAGATATGACCATGGGAAACGTTTTTACTTGAGAACCACTGTACTATGACAGTAATTTGCACAAAAATTCTTTCTGATGCAATAATTATATTTAATTTCTTATTTGCAAACAAATCATTCATTTTCTTTAAATTCATTAATATCATTGACAATTAATTATTGTTAAAAGAGAGAAACACTGTGTATTACTGATGGAAGTTGTGCTTTGCCTATAGTGCCACCAAGGTGGATCCTGGAACCAACTGACAAAGCATTTGCTCAAGGCAGCGATGCTAAAGTTGAGTGTAAAGCCGATGGGTTCCCCAGACCCCAGGTCACATGGAAGAGGGCTGCTGGTAAGTCACAAACTATACTTCATTTTTGCGATTAGTGGGCTTTGAGTCTGGTGTCATGTTAATGCATCAGGCATGCATGTGTGCAGTGTTTGAATACAAATACTTGTTTCTGCATAAACAGTTCTTGTTTAAATATTTGTATCTGAAATGAGGAAAATTGAAACTGCTTAGTAAAATTTGTATTCTTTACCATGAAATATAAACTACTCATGTTGCTGCAACTGATTGCAGGGGACACACCCGGTGATTACAAAGATCTGAAACCAAACAATCCAAACATCAAAGTGGAAGATGGAACTCTCACTATTAACAACATCCAGAAAACTAATGAAGGTTATTACTTATGTGAGGCTGTCAATGGTATAGGTTCTGGGCTGTCCGCTGTCATTCTCATCAGCGTGCAAGGTATGTCATTCAGAGTGTGTTCTAAATGAACCTTGAAAACCAGAGAACTGAGATTGCTCAGTTGCTGCAAAATATCACTTCTCAAACCTAGCTACATCACAGTCTACAGAGTCAGGGAGAGTTACTTTACCACAGGTGGTTTACTGCCAATCAGTTTGTCTTGGCAACAAGCCCCTTGAGACTCACGCCTGTCATTTTGTTTTTCAACTGAACGCTTGCCTTGTGTAATGTCCTCTTTGTTGAGAGGGTGAGTCTGTCATTTACAATTGCTGCTGGTCCTCGTCAGCAAGCACAGTCATTCTCAGGTCGGAGTCCCATGGGATTCATGACCGCGTTTTACAGTCTCAGATTCAAGACCCCCCTTCAAACTGGAGGGCCTGGTCCCAATATTTATTTCCCCCAGGAACAGGGTGGCGCAGTTATACTCCCAGGCACTGGGTTCACTTCTCATCACCTCCTACGACTCACAGGGATACAGTGGAGGTATTCGAGCCTGCCTCCACACATGTGGACAGTCTACATCACGTAGTATGCATGTGTCTAAAACATTTTGGGGCATGCAATGCTATCAGATAGTGATGTAGATCACTATTTGAATGTTACAAAGTTGCTGGATTCTCTTATCATTGTATGGTGGGAACCAGGCCACACCATAGCTCAAGCGGTTAGACGCTGACTTCCCACCGCAGTGGCCCGGGTTTGATTCCGGGTCTGGTCAAGTGGGATTTGTGGTGGACAAAGTGGCGCTGGGGCAGGTTTTCTCCAAGTACTTTGGTTTCCCTGCCAATCTTCATTCTGCCAAATTCTCCATCATCATAATCACCTGGGGCAGGTACAGTAGGCCAATCAGTGGCCACCGTGCCAAGTGGACCCAGTTGGACTCCACGCCCCACTAAGCGAATGGTTGGAACCAAAATCGCCATATTTGTGATCTTGTTAATTGCGGTACCTTTCTTCCACAAGGCTGCCTGTCAAAGATATAATGAACCTTCAGAAATGTTTTAGACAAAGAATACTTCTAACACCATATTTAAATATTCAGAATAGAAACGCGAAAATTTGTGTGTATTCAAGCTTTGAGTTTCTTGTAAAGCAATGAAATTATTCAGTTGTGCCACTATTATGTTTGTATGATGGAAATCAGTAGTAACCTACAGAAGAGATTTTCATCAGAATTCATTTAATCATACGAAGTAAATTGATGTGGTAGACTTTTGTTTTGCGTTGGAAGACATGATTCAAATCTCATCTAATCTAGCCACTGATGCCAGCCTACTTGCTGTAACCAGGACAGTGAAAAGAAAATATAGATGTTTTATTATTGGAGATGATTGCAGCAGCTAATCTATAAAAATGGCACTGCCAGTGGTCTGGAAGATTACAAGAATACATCCAGCTCAAAGGGTTGAGAAACCGCTTGCATTGAGAACCAAACCTGTAATCTACTTTTGGCCAGAGTTAATTTTCATACCTGTTTTATTTTAGCACCACCACACTTTGAAATCAAACTCAGGAACCAGACAGCTCGACGTGGTGAGCCGACAGTATTGCAATGTGAGGCCCGTGGTGAGAAGCCAATTGGAATCCGCTGGAACATGAACAATAAACGACTTGATCCCAAGACTGATACCAGGCAAGTACTACCAGCATGACACATTATTTCATTGTTGATACTGATTCTGCTCTCTCATATTTGCACCCTGTAGATGTGGGCATTCTTTCCTTGTTTTGGATATACATTCTGCCTCCATCTTGAGGGTCGAAGTGAATTATGAGTGAGCATTCATATTGTCATGTGTAGGGGTGACTATTAGACAGGGTTTGGATTTATTGACCATGTACACTCAACTTGTAATTACAAGTGATACAGCACTACTGCTAATCTCTGCAGTTTACATTTCACCTCTGTAAACACCAGTGTCCTCAGTCTATTACTGTCTCCACTGTCTGTTTCCTGGCAACAGATTTTAACACAGGAACTATACACTATCACTGATACTACAGCACACATGAAGTTTTCCTTGCACAGCCTAATTCCTTTCTTGCCATTTCTTCTCAGTCATCTTTGATTGCCATCTCAAGAGACTCCCTAAATTCTAATTCAGTCGAAGTCAAAGTCACATTGTGACTGACAGTCAATCAGTCAGTAAGTCAGATGGAGCTCATGACCAGATATTTATTACTCTTTAACAGTTACGGTCTTGTGTTTGTGAAGCGCCCTCTCTGACGATAGGACGGGTCTGTCTTTTGTATATGCTGCTGGCCCTTACCAGTGCAGACTTTCTTGGGTCCAAGTCCCTTGGGACTCGTGACCATATTTTACTGTCTCAGATTTGAGACTTCCCTTTTTGTCACCTTCTGTGACTTGCAAGGTCACGGTGGAGGTATTCGACCCCACCTTGGAGATCCTTGTTATGTAGTCTTGGGTTGGATCTAACAGAAAACACCGTTTTCATCATTATAACCCAGCAATACTTTGATTGTTGCTTAAGTATCCGTTGCTGCGGGAACCTGTTTACCAAGTGAACCCTGGCTCTGCTGTTCCGGCTTTCAGGCATCATGTCAGTATATGTAGGTTTTGGTCCACTAGATTCCAGGGAAGGGTAGGGGATGGTGTCCAAGTATGGGCCAATAAGGATTGTAGACATAGAAGTGTTATCGAAAACGGCCCTTTTGAGGGCTACCAAGAACAACAGAAGCGATTGATGACTGGTGTTCCAGAGTGGTCACCCTTCCCATCATGATGTTGCTTAACATTCTGTGGTGCGGATCAAGCAGTGTGGAGAGTGGCAAAGGGATCCCTGGTCCTTGAGTTTAGGCTGGAATGGGGGTGGGAAGGAAGAGAAGAGGGGATTGTGTGTGGGCGGGGGGAGGGGGGAAAATCCCCCTTAGGGAGTTTTTGCTGTTCCCCTCTGTGGTTCACGTTTTGTGAAATGTGTATTGTTATGGTGTTCTTTCTGCTGCTGTAACTTTTTCATGATTATATTTCTATGTAGGTACACAATGCGAGAAGAAATACTTCCAAATGGTGTCCTGTCTGACCTCAGCATCAAACAGACTGAACGTACTGACTCAGCACTCTTTACTTGTGAAGCAACAAATGCATTCGGAATTGATGATACCAGCATCAACTTGATCATTCAAGGTTTGTTAATAAGTGCAAACTGAAATCATCTTATGTAAATTTATGGTATTATGGATAGATTTGCCGGTCATGGTAGCCAAGTGGTCTAAGGCATGTGCTGTCTTCGCTTGCTTGGAAGCCGGGTTTGTGGGTTCGAATCCCACACAAGGCATGGATATTTGGTGTGTGTATGTGTTTATTCTGTGTTTGTGTTGTCCTATGTTTAGGTAGAGGCCTTGTGATGAGCTCATCACTCGTCCAAGGAGTCCTACCATCTGTGAAATGATCATGAAACAAATCACACCTATNGGGGGGGGGGGGGCAGAGAGATTATGGATAGATCTAGGAGGTGTTATTCAGATCAAATTCTTTTTTTGAGAAAAGTTTTTTGAATTGATTTCAGTATACATTTTTGAATGGACACGGCAAATTTGGGTGTTCCAGTTTTAATTGGTTGTAGATGCTTGCGCCACATGTATGTTGCATAATTCTTAGCTGTGCTCCTGTCTCTTTATCTCTCTCACTCTCTCTTCTCTTAGCACCCTTTGTCTTTTAGACAGATCAATGTACAGAAATCCCTAATACCTTTCTCTCTTCAGTTACTGCTTTCAGACTTCCTGCCAGCTTTCTTGTAGCCGTCATGCATCTCATGGCTGAGCCGTCTTTTTTGGTCATTCCATAGATCCCGTTCCTTTAAGCCTAATTCTTTCTCAGCGTTTTTATTCTATCCATTCTCTTTTCTTGGCCAAACCAGTACAGTTGTTTCGCTTCTTGCTCTGTTAATGTTAACCTTTGTCCAAAAATTTCATTTCTGATTCTAACCCTCATTCTGTCAAATAGCCTGTTATATTCCACTCTTGCTGTTTTGGTTCTGACAAATTATATGTGTTCTGCAGAGGTACCCGAAGTGCCTTATGGCTTGAGAGTGTTGGACAAATCTGGGCGTTCCGTTCAGCTGTCGTGGGCCGCCCCTTATGATGGCAATTCTCCAATCAAGCGTTATCTCATTGAGTACAAGATCGCAAGAGGTGAGTCTCCATGTTACATCTGGTAATGGTTCACAGGCAATGTATTTCTATCTTGTGATTAGCAGTCCTCTGCTAGCCCATGACATATTTAATAATATTAAAATGAAAAGTGTATTTGTTGGAGTGAAAGATGTTTGGTAGAAACTTTGTAAAGAATATATCCAATACACTTTTCCTGTGAATTTGATTGTTTTCAAGATAATTAAAAAGTAGTTACACCGTGTTTTCATTTCCTAAGGTTCGTGTTTCATAAAACCATGTAATGTAACATGCAAGTCACGAGACATGTCTGAATTGTGATGCCCACAGGCACGTGGGAAGCGGACATTGACCGTGTTTTGGTACCAGGGCAGCAGACAGTGGCTGGTGTGTTCAACCTTAGACCTGCCACCACATATCACTTGCGCATTGTTGCTGAGAATGAAATCGGAACATCAGAACCTTCTGACACTGTTCCCATCATCACTGCAGAAGAGGGTAATCCCCCTGTGTTCTATAGATGTCCTGTATTTTATAAATGTTTATGCTGAAAATTTCATTCAGTGAAATCTTGATTTAGTGTGCTAGAAATCTTAACAAAAGTAAATCCTCATCATAATGGACAAAATCTGGCTCTGTACAATTCTGAATTTTTAGAGATGTTTTCATACTAAGGAGGTTTTATGATTAGAAAACTATTTAAAATAAAAAATGACCCCAGTATAAAAACCCTTATATAATCACATTATGTGTCTATGTTTATTATATGTTTTGGCTATGTATTCTCTGGTGTACTGCTGTGAAAACCTCTTGGCTTGTTTACAGCGGAAATTGCCTGCAACAGACACCCTGTCCCCCTGTTAGTTTGTTATAATGAGGGTTTACTGTATTTAGTGAATATTCACCCTGTGCCCAGCTGAAGCCCAGTGTAAAGAAAATATTCTTCATATTTAATCAGTTTCAGTTTAGTAAATAACTCACATTTAGTGCAAGAAATCTTCTGCCTTCCAGATCTTGTACCTTGATTAAGTGAAATTGTGGTTGAAACAGTGATGAATATTGACATTTCGTCTGTGCCTGGCATCGTCAACACCAAGCCTTAATCTTTGGCAGGTAACATCACATGTCGAACATGCACTGAAACCATGCTGTTTATGGCATCGCAGTTACTTTGGCTGTCAACTGAGGTTCCTTCATTGTTTATTTTATTTTTTCCTTTGGCGCTACAGCCCCAGTTGGGCCTTGGCCTACCTCTATGAAACTCTCTGTTACACTTCGGTTTACTAGATCTTAGACATTCAGTAGGATACATTGGGATGGTGATCAGCTTTTTGCAAAGCCTCTACCTGTACACAAACACAGAAAAAGGCACACACACATGTGCACAAACACCAAACATCCATACCCTGAGTGGGATTAGAATCCACGATCCCAGCTTCCGAGCGAGTGAAGACAGTGCATGCCTTAGACCGCTCGGCTACTGTGACCGGCCAGTGTTTATTTCATATGCTGTATTTGTATATCTGTTCCAGCTCCTGGAGGTCCTCCGACAGCTGTCAAGGTGGAAGCTGAGGACCAGCACAAACTCAAGATCTCATGGAAACCTCCAGAGAGGGATCAGTGGAACGGCGAGATTCTTGGCTACTATGTGGGCTATAAGCTCGCTTCTTCTGACAAGCCATATCTGTTCGAGACTGTTGAGTTTAGCAAAGAGGAAGGGAAAGAACATCATCTGCAGGTTGGCGAGCTGAAGTAAGTCCCATACTCCTCAGACACGAAGACATTAAACATTATGAAATATTTTGTTTTTTAAAAGCTAAAGCTGATGGACCATGACTAAAATAATAGCCACATTTGAGAGGTGTAACTATTGAGAACTCCGAAATTGACCACACAAACAGCAAGTGATCATAATTCTTGTTTTGTAACGCAGGACGTACACACAGTACTCAGTGGTGGTACAAGCATTCAACAAGGTTGGTCCGGGTCCTATGTCAGAAGAGACACGTCAGTACACAGCTGAAGGAATTCCTGAGCAGCCCCCTCAGGATACCACATGCACCACCCTCACCTCACAGACAATCCGAGTGTCGTGGGTCTCTCCCCCCCTCACTGCTGCAAATGGTATAATCAAAGGCTACAAGGTTGTGTATGGCCCCAGTGACGCATGGTATGGTGAGTTGCATCTGTGGACATACTAACTTCTGTCAAGTCAGTGATAAGAGGCAGGAGGGACTCATACATACATACATACATACATACATTGTACATACTCATCATTGTATTCCTTGCCAGATATTATTAGAGTGATCTGATCAAGGAGAATAGAATGGATAGGTCATGGAGCACGTGCGGGGAGAAGAGAGATGCATAGAAAGTTTTGGTAGGAGAACCTGAAAGGAAGAGACCACTATGAAAATATTGGCCTAAATGAAAAGATAAAATGAATCTTGAAGAAACAGGATGGGAGGATGTGAATTCAGTTTGTCTGTCTCAGGCTTTCGTGAACATGACATTGAACCTTCAGGTTCCATAAAATGTTGAGAGTATTGTAACTAGGTTAGGAACTATTAGCTTTTCAAGGACTGCTCTCTGTGGCTTTAGTTGGTTAAGTCGGTAGTTCTGAAATAAGGATGCATATATTGTTAGGAGGTTCATGAAACTTCACAAGAGGGTATGTGATATGTGTTTCATGCAGTGTTAAAGACTGGTTGAAAGGGTTTAAGGAACACCGTGACTTTCTTTTGTAAGTCATTTTTGTTCATGGAATAAATAAATTATGTTTGAAATGAAAATATCTCTTCTAGTGCTTATAATACACTGTAACATGTATTTTGAAATAAGAATTAAGTTGCCACTGAGAAGGAATGTCTTAAAGTTTTACTGTGAGACGAAGCGTTATATTGAGTGAGAAAAGTTAACTTCACACTGTGGTATCTGTGTTTGAACCTTTACAGACTGATGGTTAATATGTTGTGGAAATTGTTATTTCAGATTACACGCATTTGCATTGAGAGGCTTTTCATACAAATCAGTGAAAGTCTGTCCTGACAGTAACATAAACGGTGCCAAATGTTGCACTTCCTTATGCTTATGAAACTGTAATATTTGAAAGAAAATTCTTGAATGCAGAAAAGCTTATAAGAAATTTTATCATTAGAACATTAAGGTTATGTAAGAAAATTCATCCTCATAACATTAAGTTTATGTCCTAGGCTCCAAGATCCAGAACAATTATACATGCATCCTGTTATATCATTGTTATTTATCTGCGGTGGTGCCAACTTTGTCAGTACACATTATTTTTGGGAGCAGAGAAGATTGCCTGTGATAGTTGCATAAATGTGGTTTGATAATAAGTGGTGGTAACTTCTGAAATTTGCATAAGCTTACTTTGTGTGAATTTGTTTAGGTTCTCATGTTCCTGACAGAGAAGACTACTGTCTTCTGAGATGTGATGCCGTATAGTCTGGTAAACTGTTACCAGTGCTTTACATGGACGTGTTGCCTCCATCATCTCTCCTGCAGATGGAGGCAGCTTGTTCCTCTGAAACACTCGTAATGATCTACCAGAATATAACAACATCACATCTCACAAGATAGTAGTCTTCTCACTATAAATGTGTATGTCCTTCCTTTAGAAACTGTGTGAAATTTATTGGGAACATTGTTTATAATTAGTGTAACTTGAAGGGTCGTGCCATAGCTCAAGCGGTTAGTTGCTGGCTTCCCACCGCGGTGGCCTGGGTTCGCTCCCAGGTCTGGTCAAGTGGGAATTGTGGTGGACAAAGTGGCGCTGGGGCAGGTTTGCTCCAAGTACTTCGGTTTCCCCTGCCAATCTTCACTCCAGCAGTTGCTCCACAATCACCCTCACCTATCATCTTGGGCTGGTATGATAGGCCAGAAGTGGCCGCAGTACAAGGGACTTAGTCCCACCCCACTAGCAATAAAAATAATGTAACTTGAAAGAGAAATATATGTTTAAGTTGAAAATTAAATCCAATCTTGTTCATTATTCATTTAAAAGGTTGTCTCTTACAGATGAAAACACCAAAGATACAAAGATAACTTCATCAAGTGAAACCATCCTTCATGGCTTGAAAAAGTACACCAATTATAGCATGCAAGTTCTGGCCTTCACATCAGGTGGCGATGGTGTTCGCAGTGCTCCAATCCATTGCCAGACAGAGCAAGACGGTAAGTCTTGATGATGACATTGTGATACATTTAGGTACAAGTGCTAGCCCACATTTGCACCTGTGTTTTTTCAGTGGTCGGCAATGTATGAGTATTCAGTGACAAAATTGTCAAAATTTGTATATATTCTAGTGCACTATATGTTTCAGCCTAGAGGTTAAAACAGAGTTTTACAGCACAGTAAATATATCTGTAGAAAAAAGTGTTTCTTGTTGTTGGATTAATCTGGCTTAGGATAGGGACCTGTGGAGGACTCTTGTGAACACGGTCATGAACCTTTGGGTACCATAAAATGTTGAGAAATTCTGGAGTAGCTGAGTCACTGGTGACTTCTCAAGGACTCAGCTCCATGGAGTCAGTTAGTTTCTCATTATGTAAGATTTGAGGTTTTCACGGTAATGACTATGAAAAAAGCAGTCTTTTGGGATGTGGCGCCATGTAGATGTGGTGTTAAGTGACGTTTCAGAAGAATATATCGCCTCCATCTTTAGGGTAGAAGGAAAAATAAGAAAATCTGCAAGCGAAGAAACAGTGGGAGCAGGTATAGGATATTGTGTTGGGGGAGAAAGGCCCTGCTCTAACCTTGCTCCTGTCCTAGACCCTTCCCCTCTCCCTCTCCACTGATTTCCAATGCAGACTTGTCCCCTCCTTTCCTGCTCTCATATAGCTGAATTTATTTGCTTGCACCTGCTCTAACCTTGCTCCTGTCCCAGACCCTTCCCCTCTCCCTCTCCACTGATTTCCCATGCAGACTTGTCCCCTCCTTTCCTGCTCTCATATAGCTGAATTTATTTGCTTGCACCTGCTCTAACCTTGCTCCTGTCCCAGACCCTTCCCCTCTCCCTCTCCACTGATTTCCCATGCAGACTTGTCCCCTCCTTTCCTGCTCTCATATAGCTGAATTTATTTGCTTGCACCTGCTCTAACCTTGCTCCTGTCCCAGACCCTTCCCCTCTCCCCCTCCACTGATTTCCCATGTAGACCTGTCCCTCCCTTCCCTGCTCTCATATAGCTGAGTCTATTTCCAACATTAGTCTGCTTGCACCTGCTCTCACTGTCTCTTCGCTTGCGGATTTCCTTATTTTTCCTTCTACCCTGAAGATGGAAGTGATACGTTCTTCTGAAACGTTGGTTAACATCACACCTACGCGATGCCACATCCCAGAAGACTGCTTTCTTCATAGCTTCTCACTGTCATCTAGAGCCTCCAGGTATGACCAGTGCCAACATTTCAATCATTTCTGTAGTGTTGTTGCAAAGATGGCGGACACTGCCACTTTTCAGAAGAAGAAGAAGAAGAAGAAACATTTTCACATGTTTATGTAGTAATGTATTTCAGTGTAACGCTGAATGAAAATGTTACTAAGAGACATAACATGGTTTTCATTTTGTTGTTTTAGTGAGGATAATTTAATGATGCAGATTTGAGTTTCGTAACGTGAGTTGTGCTTTGCAGTTCCTGAAGCTCCAAGTGCAGTGAAGGCTCTTGTAATGTCAGGAGATTCCATCTTGGTGAGCTGGAAGCCCCCAGAGCAACCCAACGGCATTGTATCACAATATACCGTATACGTGCGTGAGGACAGCGCAGAAGCCAAAGACGTATGTGTTACGTGTCTGTCTGGTGTTTTGTGTGACTGTAGCAATTTCAGTGAGATTTCATTTGGGGAGGGCAGTTTAAAAAACCAGTTATCAAAATTGATATTCTCCTTAACAAATGAATTCTTGTTTTTATAATGTTGAATCCTGCTTGTCTAAACTTCAAAAGAATCACTTATATCAGCCTTCAAGCTTCACTTGTATCGACATGGATGGTTCCATGTACATGCCATCACATTAACTGTATTTCTGCAGTTGTAGTCGGTTCCAGTGACTGGTGAAACTGACTGTGTCTATAGAAATGTAGTTTGTCTGACTGTATGCAGTTATCATTTACAGTTAATCTTCTGGCATAGCTGTTGTTCTGTTCAAATTGTAGCTCTCTGAGTTGTGCATGTGATGTATGATTGTACTGATGTTAGAAACAGTTTTTGTCTCTTTTATGTCTCTTACAAACAAGGCAATATTTTTATTGTTCAGGATTGCTGAGTTTTTGGATTTTGTTCATCATGTGGACAACGGACAAAGTCGAAGAACTCAATGATCTGAAATGTTATACACGATCGTTAGACCTCTTCAGAACTGACTGTGTGTTTATGTTGAAATGCAATGTTATATCTTGTGTTTGTCTAGGAAAAACCTAAGCTCACAAAAGTGCCACCTTTCCAAATGAGTTTTGAAGCATCAGAATTGAAGAAAAAGGAGCGTTACGAATTCTGGGTAACAGCATCTACTATAATTGGTGAAGGCCAGCCATCAAAATCTGTTTCTTTGTCTCCAAGCAGTAGAGGTGGGTTTTGAGAATCCCTGTTCTGTCTTACGTAATCCATATCATCCACTGTTATACAGTTTTGTTTATAAGTGGAAATTACTTCATCAGTTTGGATACTGCCAGAAAAATTACTCTAGCAAAATGTTAAATTGTTTTGGGAAGCTTTTGTAACTTATTTGACCCCTGCCTCTGCATCATTTCAAGCGGATGTTTTCTCCCTGTCCATCTTATGCGTTTAACCTTCTCTTCATCCCATCCGTTCTCTGGCTTTTCATTCATTTTACTCATTATAGACATTTCCATCTCTCGTCCACTCCCCCCTCTGATGTGGCCCTCACATTTGGGCACCCGGTGTTTGACTGTTGCAACTTTTAATTTTCCAGTTCCTGCTAAGATCGCTTCATTTGATGACTCCTTCTCGGCAACATACAAGGAGGATGTTAAGCTGCCATGTCTTGCTGTTGGAATTCCTGCTCCAGACATCCAGTGGAAGGTGAAGGGCGTTGCTTTCCAGCAGGACGATCGCATCCGCCAGCTGCCCGAAGGCTCATTATTCATCAAATCTGTCACACGTCAGGATGCCGGAGAGTATTCGTGCTCAGTGGAAAACTCATTTGGACATGATACAGTCACTCACCAGCTTGTTGTTCACGGTAATGTGGAGTGTGTTTGCTGCTGAAACCGATAATAAAGATTAATTTTATAGGCAGCTGCTACATCTATATGCTGGCAGTTCCCATCTTTTTCATATTCACGGACCAGTAAGATAATGGTTAATTGATTAGCACTTAGATTGTTGATTTGATATCAGTGTGAAGGAGTTTCAGATGAGGGAAATTCTTAAATTGAGGAACATTAAATGAGACTTCCACTATATACATTTTTGTTTGAATATCAGGCAGCATTGGACACTACCATAAAACTGAGCTTGTTTTGTTGGCAGCTCCACCACACTCTCCACAGGTTTCCTTGACATCAATGACAACCAATTCAATTACAATGAAGTTGCGCCCCCATCCTACTGATACAGCCCCTCTACATGGTTACACGGTTCATTACAAACCTGAGTTTGGAGACTGGGAGACTGTTCAAGTCTCAAACCAAGCTCAGAAATACACGCTCGAGAACCTGTGGTGTGGATCGCGTTACCAAGTCTATGTTACAGGATATAATGGGTAAGAAACTAATTGCAATTAAGTTTCATGCAACAGGATGCTCAGATATGATATTACAATATAATACATTGTAACATGTGTTTCAGCATTGGTACAGGTGACCCGTCAGACATTCTGAACACACGAACCAAGGGCTCCAAACCCGTGATCCCAGAAGCAGGCCGCTTTATTGAGGTCTCCACCAACAGCATCACACTGCATCTGAGTGCATGGTCTGATGGTGGATGTCCCATGATTTACTTTGTTGTGGAACACAAGAAGAAGTAAGTATTGGCTGCAGGGCTACGCCATAGCTCAAGCGGTCAGTCGCTGGCTTCCCACCGCGGCGGCCCAGGTTCAATCCCGGGCCTGGTCAGGTGGGATTTGTGGTGGACAAAGTGGTGCTGGGGCAGGCTTTCTCCAAGTACTTCGGTTTTCCCTGCCAATCTTCATTCCACCAATTGCTCCACAATCACCCTCACCTATCATCTGGGGCTGGTACAATAGGCCAGAAGTGGCTGCAGTACAAGGGACTTAGCCCCACCCCAGTAGCAATAAAGAAGTATTGGCTGCACATATGACCATGATTCTACATGGCTTTTATTGTTTCTGATACTGAAGGGCAAGGAGCATGTTATTGTGAAAGTTAAACTGCGGAAGGACCCATAGAGTTAAGTGAGAACAGAGGAATTCTGTTTTCTGGAGTATTACACCATGTAGTCCAATAGAAAGTTACCACCGAACTATTCTCTTGCTAGATGGGGATAAACTGTTCAACGAATTCATGCAATGCCTTATATTTTACCTTTGGTTGGGGATTAGCTATAAATTATTACTTTTATTGTTTCTATATTATTGATTTGTATGAATTTTGTGTTGATAATCAATTTGAGTATTTTGAGATGTCATCTGTGAGGAACCTGGCGCTTCAATCCTCAGTGTAGAAGAAGAAACCAAGCACGGAAGACAACTGTACAGATACAATAAAGCGAGGAAAGGAAACAGGTTTGTTAGTGGGACGGTGGGATACAGCAATCCCTGAAAGAGGCAGGGCTAAACCCTTGTCAGGGAAGGAAGCAAACAGTTCTAGAAGGAAAAGAGGTTTCATCCTCAGTTTTGTCCTGTTTTGAGGATTTATCCTGGCATTTGTAGAGACTGAGTAAAACCATAAAAATCTTCTGTTATGGTAACCAGTCCATCTGAGATTCAAGCCGGGTACTTCCAAATAATGAGTATGAGTCTGTTCATTAAGTTTTGACATTTGGACACTGGTAGGTATGTGCAGAGACTTGAACTAAAGACACATATTGTTGCAGACTGCATACAGAATGGAATCAGGTTTCCAACAATGTCAAGCCTGGTGGTAACTTTGTAGTGCTGGACTTGGACCCTGCCAACTGGTACCATTTGCGCGTTACCGCTCACAACAATGCTGGATTTGCGGTAGCAGAATACGAATTTGCTACACTCACCGTAACCGGAGGTAATGCACGATCACTGATGTTTTTATAACTGGCACCGTGATGAATTCTTTATGTGATTCCATGGTTCTGAGTCCTTATTGGGAGGCTAATAATTCCTCACCTACTCAAAGAGATTCACAGAATTTTATGTAACTTCAAGTTTTATTACCATTTTCACAAGAATGCACTGCTGATCCCTGTTCTGAGTCAGATGAATCCAGTCCACACCCTCCCATTATGTTTGTTTATAATCCATTTCAGTATTATACTCCACCCTATATCTGGTTCTTCCCAGTGGAAGAAGTTTTCCTATGAAAACTGTGTATTCACTTTTCTCCAGTGAATGCTCCCAGAGAATCTGCCTAAGTCCGAGACAGTTTGTAACATGATAGTTATTTATGGTGGGGAGTTTCTAGCCCCACGTCCAACCCCCAGGGGGGTGGACCACCAATTTTTGACTGCCTTCAACTGCTTAATAGTATACTCTCAGCTACCATCCCTATCTGGAGGCAGTTTCCTCCATCTCCAACTTGAAGTGCACCCATTCAACATGATGAAAAGTCTTTAAATTATGACACAATGTTGTATATTTTAACCCTTTTGCACCCCTGTCTGAAGTTGATCATTAACTGGAGCTTCATCCAGACTGTCATGTCTGACCCACTTGATAATATGCTGTAACAAAACAAAATGTTCCTGTCTCAGAAAACACTCTGAACAAATAGTTTTTACCTTTTTTGCTAGATAGTGCTTATATGATTCCATGAATACATGTAGATCATTTGTTGGTATTCTCTATGAAATACTGTGTTCTGCTAGCTTACTGCACAAAATGGCTGTGCTGGCATGCAAGCAGAGTTGCTGGGAGAAAGAGTGGTAACAATATTAGCGCATAGTCACACAGAACATAGCTGAACCAAATGAATATAAAGATCAGTGCTTTTTGGGATGTGCTGCTGTGCGATTTGACAGAAAGAGATACTGGAGGAATCTGGTTCATATATTTTTCATGAAAAATGAGAATACTGTCTTCTGGGTAGTAATTCTCTGTAGTTGAGCAGATATCCACTGAGGTTTCAGACGTACATCAGTGGATTTCTGCAAATTTACATGTTGCTGAAATCTGGAAGATCATGATGCTCATAGTTTTTGCTGTGAGATCTCAAATTCAACAAAATAAAAGAAAATTCAAGACAAAAAAATGCCTTATATTTCTGAGCACTCTTGCAGCTGCGTATGCTGGAAGATGACCACTGAAAATCTGAACAGAATCTGCCAGATAGACTTCATGTCACGTGAATGCAAATAATATGTTTGTTGCAGCGTGCATTGTTGCAAAGTTACTTGCTAGTGCAGATGCACTGGTGCCAGTCTGTTAATATTAGATTATTTAATTAAGTTACCATGTACATAATTACAGTAGCTGTCACATAACAACAAGAAGCTGAGCATTAGTACCTGAACACAGGGCGTTTCTAAATGGGCTGCTTATGTTAATTATTTGTGAGGTTACCCTCTTCTGGTATGTGGTGCTGTGTAGTTTGGCAGATGGCTGCCAACATTTCGAAGGAATGTGCTACCTTGTTCTTCATTCTACAACTCTTCTGTCTTGAAAATGTAGGCAGCACTTTGCTTCAAAATATCAGTAATGTTGCACTGGACTACACTGCATCACATGCCACAGGGCAGTAATCTTCATATTCCCTGCAGCAAGAACCTCAGATCTGACGTTCATTTTTTTTTTCTGGTTCGGTGTTACAGGTACTATTGCTCCAGCACGCGAGATCCCTGATCAAGGGGCCAATTCCCCAATCCGCATCTTCCTCTCAAATCTGAATCTTGTGGTCCCTGTAGCAGCAGCTGTTCTGGTGATAATCATAGCGGTTGTGGTGATCTGTGTGCTGCGTGGCAAGAATTCGCACCAGAAAGGTAAGCGGCATCGTATGTTGTAGGAACCATTGCACCGCCCGAGCAGGAACACACGTCTGTGAACCAGTACTTCCCATGGGTGCCGGAGTGGCTGGACCTCAACATTGTTGTTCCCATAGGGGCAACTGTAGTGGTCATTATAGTGGGCGTTGTTGTGATCTGTGTCGCCTTGTCACGACGGTCCCGGGGTCCTGAACAGACTCGTCTCAGAGGTAACGTGATTTCTGTTTAATGGTGTTAAAATATACATTAGCACGTCATGTAGAAACACATGCTTCACTACAAGTCCCATCACCTGACAAATTATGGTTACTGCATCTGTAAATGTGAATTTCTCTTGCTAATGTTATCGTGCTAGTTGCCTGAGCCGTAACAATTCTGGCTTGTATTCAAGAAGCTAAAATCTTGGCTATCCTTACTGAGATTTGTCAGCGGCCTCCGTAGTCTACAGGTAACGTTCCCACCTCATGACTCATAGTACGCGGGTTCAAATACCCGGTGGAGGTCGTCAAATTTTTAAGGGCGGAAAAATTCAGGGAACAAGTCCTCCGGGAGGGACTTTAAGCCATGGGTCCTGTGTCGTAGCTTTATGGCACATAAAAGAACATCGTATCTCCAAAGGAGGTCACTGAGCCAAATTACGGACGTTTCCCGCCCAACAGCAGTGTCTAATACCTCTGGTAGATGGGGGAAGCATTATAGATACTCTCAGCTAGTAGAGCCGGTCTCGCTGGCTGGGCGGGACTGATGGTAAACACCAGTACCGGTAGGATATAGAGACTGGTAGAAATCGTAGAGGGAAGCACAATGGACCAATACAGGTCTAAGTGCATGGGGAAACCCACCCTCTCCAATAACTAACTAAACTAACTACTGAGATTTGTCATGGTTTTTCTCAGTTCCTCCAAGAAAATGCTGGGATTTTGTCATGACCATTTCCTTCCATATCCTTTCCAGTTTATTTTTCACTCATCTTCCTGTCATTTCATGCTGTATATAATTATATACATATATACATAACTCATATTATAATATGAGTTATTGATAGCATTATTAAATAAACTAAACGAATGTCAACTTTCCATCTCATATGTTGCTATATTGCCTCTGCTGTCAAAGCAGCATGGTTAACTAGTTCAGTATCAATCAGTCATCAGTATATTTAACATGTATTGCTTTTAAGTTGGCTGATGTCTAAATAAAATTCCTACAGATGTCATTCATATGCAGAGAATTCTTAAGAAAGCTTGTAGAAGCTTGACAAAAATGATTTGTACGGTGACTGTTGATTGTTTATCACTTAATCCCACCCATTTCCAATTTCAATTAAGTAATTTCAAAATGAAGTTTTTCTGGAAACATGTCTAGCCCAACAGGTAAAATTCCAGTATGGGGCCCCTGCATTGAACATGTTAAAGTAATTGAACAGTACCTTTGTTATTCATTCTGTGCAGAAGTGCACGAAGTGAATGTGTGTAAGGCAAATGGCATTCTGACTGGTTGGTACGTCTATGAAACCCATCCGAGAACTCTATTGAAGTGTATTATTGACCATCTCCACTAAAAGCGGGGTGAATTTAATTTTGGTCCATATTGATCCATGATAATCACTAGCTTAAATCAGACTTAATAATTTTCTCGTAAGGGACACTTTGTACAAAGAGTAGTACATGACATGAAATCTCTCATTAAGATCTGCAGCTTCTATTTGAAATATTTTCTGGTGTGTTAAATATTTAATCTTAATCAGCTGTGCATTGCATTCTTGTGTGACAGAGCTGGAATAACCTACTCAATAAAGACGCTACATCTTGATGGCATACTGCTTAATTAAGCATGGAGACATTTATCTTGTTTTTAATTTGCTTAATGGGGGGTGGAGTCCAGCTGGATCCACTCAGCACGGTGGCCACTGATTGGCCTATTGTACCTGCCCTGGGTGATTATGATGATGGAGAATTTGGTGGAATGAAGATTGGCAGGGGAACCAAAGCACTCGGAGAAAACCCGCCCCAGTGCCACTTTCTCCACCACAAATCCCACTTGACCAGACCTGGGATTGAACCCGGACTGCCGCGGTGGGAAGCCAGCGACTAACTGCTTGAGCTATGGCATGGCCTTAAATGAGTGGCATGCTCAGAGAGATGTGTGCACTAATAAATATGTCTGGAGCATTTATGTTCAGTTGAAGTTCATTTTCCCTGGATGAATATACACAGGAAAGCCTGGCGTATCCCACCTTATTAATCTGTTTATGACACAGAAATATTGGATCAGAAGGCAGTCATTCCATTCATAGAGGGTGTATGTTAGTCCTGACCAGGCAGCACATTATGACATCCTTGGTTGTTAACCCCCCTGCATGTTGCATATTAAATCAACTCGGTACTTCCATTAAAAATTCCACAGCTGAAGAGATTGGCTTGCTGTTAATTGATATGAACAGCATTACTTTCAGTAGATAACATCAAATGTGAAATTACTGATGTTAGAGGAAGGAACAGGCTTTCAACAGGTCTATACCTGTTGTTATTTGAAGGTGATTTAAGGAAATAGTGTGCGTTTTTCTGTGAAACTGCATTTACCCCCAACAGGCATTGACGTTTTTGGTTCTGTGGTGGAGCTTTGTCTGTGGCCTTGCAATCTAAGGCATGAAACTGTCTTTGCTTGCTCGAACGCTGGGTTCGTGGGTTTGGAATCCCACTGAAGTCATGGATATCTGTATATGCATTTATTCTGTGTTTGTGTTGTCCTGTATGTGGGTAATGGCCTTGTGACAGGCTGATTACTCATCCAAGGAGACCTACCATCTGTGTTAAAAAGGTCATGACACTGAAGAAGAGTCCGAGGCCCAACAAAGGGCTGTAGAGCCATTAATGTATAAATGAATGAAATGGTGGAGCTTGGCAGTCTGATGGTTAAGAGCTTCTTCATCTTTGACCTGGCACTTGGCTTATTATGGTTTAGCTTTATTAATTAGTTATGTATTCTGTGTATCTGGGCGCACATAATCTGCAGGTGATAACCTCTAACACTTATCTTAATAATTTTCTTTCCAGATGATGTTGCATACAACCAGTCGGCTGGTGGGAATTCTACAATGGATAAGCGACGCCCAGACCTTCGTGATGAGCTCGGTTACATTGCACCTCCAAACCGAAAGCTGCCACCTGTGCCGGGCTCCAACTACAATACATGCGATCGCATCAAGAGAGGTACAGTTATAAGTAAGGATGTCTTGACATTCTACTTCGTGTGCATGGATCCCGGCATGTTCTGTTGCACACTTTTTTTTTTTTGGATGCTGAACTCCAAATTGTTAACAATAAGAAGTGCATGAGCTTTACATTCCGAAATATCTTTCACAACGCCAATAAATCTGATGCAAGACCATCAAATCTCCATATTTACATTCAGTATTGATGAAAACCTTGTTATGAGAGAACTGATGATCTTGAGGCACTGAATATGAAGATTGCTGTATCCTTGGGCATGATGCCATGTATTTTGGGAAACCTGAAACATTGTACTTTTTTAATAAAGTACGTTTTTCATGTTCCAAGAGACAGTAATCTTCAGAAACTTATGTTATGCAGTGGTTACTTCTGGTTGGTTGAGGGTGTTTTGAGAATATAGAGTTTGGGGAGAATATTTTGAACAAACAAAGATGAAATAATGGAAACGGTCAAGATTACAAATGAAGAGCTTTGTAAATTGTTTTATTCAGTTAATATCATTATGATTGTTGATTCAAAAGAGAAGATCCGAGCAAATGTGCATAAGTTATAATGCCTCTGCTTGTATTTAGGAGGTGCCTGGTTTTAACTTTGGCCTGGAGCCTTGGTTTTCACTGTCAGACAGGTTTGGTCTGTCAAATTTTCTTCTGTATTAGCTGCCGGTAGTCGGGAGCTCTGCCAGCCTTTCTGTTCATTGGCACACACGGTACGGTAATCAGTTCGTCAAGTATTTCATGTAAGTTTAGTGTCCAAAAATGGGGCATAAAGGGCAAGAGGTTTTCAAACAGAATTGAGTTTAATGAGATGTGAAAAAGCTTGCAAGAAAATTAAACTAAATTGAAGGAAGGATAGAGAAAATTATAGAACACAGTCTAGAGCTCTTTTTTGACTATGTTTTTCTTTTATGTTGCCCCCCCCCCCTATTTTGTTTCATAAGTATTCGTGAGTGTAGGTTTCAAAAATACTGAATAAATTACGTCTTTCTAAAAATTAGCCATCCAAAATTGAGATGCATCATACGATCTGCAAAACATGGCATATGTTGCCATAATCTGAAAGCTTACACATAACCTCAAAATTTTAGACCTTTTATCATGTTATGTTGAGATCATGGGGAAAGGTCCCATGGATGACAGCAGTCAAGGCTTCCCATTTTCTACCTGCTGTTGTATTACCCTCCATCTCCCACTAGCCCATGTTAACCAGCCTGAAGTTCCTGTCGTTACTGAAAGTTATTATCGGGTTATTACTGCCAACATTTGTGTGGACAGAATGGGTAGATGACTAGGGGTATATAGGGGGTGCACTGGAAGGGGAAATTTGCCAACTTGATTCATGAGAATTTTTTCTGTGGCTTCAGTATAGCAGCTTTGAACTCAAATATTACAACACTTGTGGTGTTATTCGCCCAAAAATCATCTAACAAGAAACTGATTACCATTCAAAGACCTGTTACCATCACAAATTTTGTGCTTTTCATTAAGTATAACCAATATTGCTGGTGCTTCATGTATTTGAATATGAGATTTGAGGTTATCACAGTGGTGACTATGAAGAGCACCATCTTCTGGGTTCTGACACTGTACAGCCTGGTATAAGCTTACTAATGTTTTGATGGATCATGACATCTCTATCTCATAGGGTTGAAGACTGATCCAGAAAACCAGCAAGCATCTTTCTCTGACATGTTGGTAAACTTCTATGAGGCTACATGCTGTCACATACCAGAAGACGGTCCTCTGTAGACTAGCACATGGTCCCTATTTAAATATTCTAGCAGTTTTCAAACTTCTGAAGTGCTTCACTTTGATATATAGGACTTTTTATCTCCATAAATATAGGTACATACAAGGGCAGTGAAATACTCCCTCACTTAATCTTTTGCAAAGTGCCCTGTGGTCACTCTTGCATGCAGAACCCTTGCTTGCTAAGATCACGCTGTCCCCTATTGGTGTGGACACCCCTGCTTGCTACCATGTTTACATATGATTTGCCTCTCCTTGGGGCAGGTTTCTTTTAGTTTGTGTTTTGTTTTTTGCTTGTTTATCCATTTGGCCATTTTGTCGGTGTTAGGTCATTCAGGCTCCTTCCGCAGTCATGCCACCTGGGACCCCCGTCACCCTCGCCACATGTACGAGGAACTGAGCCTTCATCCACCAGGCATTCGTCGCATTCCCGCCCACCCAGGCTCAGATGAGACAGTGTACCACAGAGCAGGTGAGACACTAGCTGCCTACTTTACATCCTTTTTTCTTTTCTGTCACTTCCTTAGGATCTTTTTACTTATTTTTATTTTGACATTTATTGTTTGTTTGTGTTTCACCCTCCTATTCTCTACCAACTGTCTGAAATAACACTAATCAGTGAGCTTAACAAAATAATAATGAACCCTCTGCAGGGTCGTCTTTGTTGTGGATTTGTTTTGTTTCTGTTTTAAGAGTACTGTGCAAAGTTTCAGTCCTTTGAAAGAAGAGTAGCAATTCCATTGAATTAGTGATGAAATTAAAAGCAAATAAATTTATGAAATCATGCTACGTTCAGTCTAGAATCTTTCATTTGCTTACAACCTGTCTGAAGACCTTTTCGTTTGATTTGTGTTGGTGTGAAATGTGGACTTCCACCCTAAAATTTTGTGTACTATTCATTCTCGGACATTTAATTGGACTATGTAAATGCTGTGTGTATATAAATAGAATTATGCTTACCTCTTACAAATTTACATGAAACATGCAGGAAATGTTCATAAAGGCATTTTATATTTGTGGATAGTTTAGACCATAGAAGTGATACCTTGGGCCAATAACCTATTTGTGGTATGAACCAGTAATCATTTTCCTTTCAATTGGTATTATGTAAGTCCATTTCAGGGTTTCAGGTCAAATTTTGTGTGTTTTATAATAATTCCAGGTTATGGCAAATAAAGTTTTGAACACTCCATCACCAAAATACTACCTTATAGCCTTTTTACACTTCTGGTAAAGTAAAATACTTTTGTTTACAGTTTTACATTATTTTCAGCCTTAATTCTGCACAGCAGAGAAAGATTTTTGTAAAGGCACAGGTTTTTTGTATCCTGTAGTCCTTAAATGTTCATGGCCTTTATCTGATATGTAATTTCGGGGTTTAGTACATCACATATTAAAGTGTTTCCATTTCAACATATCTTACAGTTGCCATCTTCAGGGTGAATGAGGAGAAAGGAGGTTACAGTCTAATATTATATCTGAAAGGTGAGGTTGGGGATGTGCCCACCAGATAACACCACACACCTCATTCACTCTGAAGATGGTGACTACAGTATGTGCCAAAATGTTGGAACTGCTTAAACATGTGACATGGCTAAATACCAGGAACAAAAATTATATATTTATTGTTTGTTTTTATTCGCCCTGTCGATCAATTACATTATAAAGGACATGTCACTCATATTATACAATTATTGAAATACAGTAATGATTATAAATACAACATATTCTATGTATTCACTTATCAGTAGCTGATATTGAAGAATTCTTTATTGAGACAGGCTGTGTAGTAATAGCAGCCTTTAATAAGTCCAGTTCCTTTTTAAAATTGGATATTATTACATATTTGTTTTATGTTAGCTTGTTGCTGCTGATGGTTTACTGTATATAAAGTTGTATATTATGTACATATTATTATTTCCATGGATCCCCATATTGCTGGAACACTAGCGGATCCAGAAATAGTCAATAAGAACAAGACAAGTCACCTTAATTACACAAATACAATAGATTACATAATTACAATACTTAATCCATCACAATTACATCAGTTTCTGATTACCGTCACAAAAGGTGTATAAAAGATTTAACGCCAACATAATTAGACAATTTGTAATAAAAGTTGGAATTTTAAAAACTCATCGACCGAGTAAAAGGTATTTGAGACCAACAATGATTTTACCTCCTTTTTAAAACTTCCAAAATTTTCTAAAATTGTTATTCTCTCTGGTAATTTATTATATAAATCTACTTGCCTTGTTTAACGCATTCTGAAAAAGGGCTGTCCTCCGTGCCTGGATATATAATTTATTTTTGCCTCTACTATTATACACGTACGTCTGGAAATTACATTCCAGATTATCTCTCAATTGTTTGATAAAACATTATCATGTATTGTATCATGTATTGTGTTGTTCTGATTAAATTTGCTGCACGGTTGAGAGAATCTCTTGAGGAGGTACATAAATTAGTGATACCAAGTTCTTCTTTCTTAACCTGTGATGTAAGAAAACTTCAGACTCTAAGCATGTTCATTGGACCACTGAGGTAAGTTACTGCAGTCTTCTGGCATGTTGTGCTTGAGTGTGTTTCCTCTTTCTGCATGCTTTAGACTGTAATTTATTCTTTTATAAAGTGATCTGTTAGCTTGATACAGCAGAAACAGACAAAATGTGCTTCATATGTATGTTTGGCAGGGTTGCACTTGCATGTGCACTTCTCACAACCAAAACAAAGACTTGAATTTGCTCTTAGCTTTCCAAGTTTATTCTTATTACAACTGCAGATCATATGATTCACTTGTGCCCCTTCAGTAGCTAAGAATCAGATGTAAATTTGTCACCTTTTTCTCTGTCAAGTTAAGGTAAAGCTTCCACTGTGCACAAGGTACACAGCCTGTGAAGGATATGCAAGTAATTCTCCAGGCATTCTAAACTTCAGAACTAGCTGGAGGTGAGTGGTTACCTTCACAGTCCAACCAATTCATATTCAGAGAAATAGGCTGCTGTACCAATTTGGATAGGATACTGTTTTAATAAAATGGTTCTGAATTACCCAGGATTCATGTGATTGTAAGCACACAGTCATATATCATTTCAGTCTGTATTTGGAATGAAAAAAGTATCGACAATTTTTCAGTAATAAAATTTTGTAAATTTTTATAATTTATTTCTAGTAGTGTTTGTGATTCCTGCCTCACACTTTTGTATTTTCAAGTGAAGCAATAACTGTACTGAATCTGATCAGATGATAGGGTGATTGAGGATTAAAGCACTGGACTTGCATATGAAAAATCTTGAGTTTGATACCTGACAGATCCATTACAAATTTTTCTAGATGCTTTCATCTTAGTATACCTCAAATTTGGGGAATACCAGGCATGTGTTATGATTCAGAACCCATGTTAAGCTATCAGTTTACTGCATTATCTTATTGCTGTGAATTATGGTAACCACAACAGAAAGGGACTCCTTTGTCATTGTTACAGAGCACAGAGGCCAGGACTGAAGGCTTGGCTCTGAATCACAATGTTCCTCTTACCATCTTTATATATGTATACTACAGATTCATGGTCTGTTTCTGTACGCATTCATGAAGGATTCTTTATGAAAACAGTTGACATGCTGTAATATTTAATAGTGTGTTGTGGTACCACAATAACCTTTCCTGCGGGCCAAAACGTGTAGTGAAACAAGGAATTCACCAGGAAGTGATGAAAATGTTGTATAGACGGCTTCTGTAAATTAAATTGTATATTAAAGTAAAAAGTAAGTAAAGCTATCCCTGTAACAGGCTGCGGAGGCCCACAGGGTTGTGAGATGTCGAGGCTCCCACATTTTCTAAACAATCAGCTCATAGATGGAGGTGAGGTCAGCTCTACACGCCGGCCGCCCTTTACCCCCCAAGAATATTCCTGGTACTCATTTCTGTTAGAGGCTGAGTCGACCCTAGGGCCATAGTGCACCTGGAAGGATTAGGTCAATCGAAAAAATCCAATGACCTCATCGGAACTTGAACCTGCAACCTTCTGCCTTGTAGCATTAGTGCCTCAACCAACTATGCTACTGTGTGCCCCCCTAAATTAAAAAGTATATTGTATGCCAAAAATAAGCAGATGCTACAATTCAAAAAAATCATTCAGCAAGGCCATTCGTTAAGTCTGGAGAGCTCTGATGTATCTGCAGCTCTCATTGACTTACCTTTTTAGGAAAATTTAAAACAGCAGCAGGGTAACCACAAGAGCTCTCCTAATAATAATGGATCAGTCATTACTGCCTGGTATACAAAAAATTTTTGTGGTGACTATGAGTGTTAAGGTGGAGTCATTCCTGTGCTTGATTAACCACTATGCAATGGTGTGTGGGGAGTGAAGGTGTAGCTCCACACAGTCGTAACTTCAATGCTAGGTGAAAGTAATTTGTCGGCTTTATCTCCAGGTGAAGAACCCCTGATACTCATCAGATTAGAGCCTTAGTGGGAATTAAACCCCCTCAATCCTTAGTCATTCAGCCTGTAGCTTAGTCACCATACCAGCTGAGCTATCCTGGCCAGTGAATATTAAGAGAAAAATTAAATTCTACAAACTGTAGTCCTTCCAAATCATCAGCAAATGCTTTCTGTAGCTGATGCCAAGTTTGTAAGCATTTTCTTTCCTGAAAGGTAAATGCCTTTGTTTTCATTTCTCATGTTATTACCCTGAGTTACAAGCCACATCTGCCCCTTGACATTTTACTGTCTGCCTTTCCAGGTATGGAAGATGAGATCTGTCCATATGCCACCTTCCATCTGCTAGGATTCCGTGAAGAAATGGATCCTAACAAGGCAATGCAGTTCCAGACATTTCCACACCAAAATGGACATGAACGCACACACAGTGGCACCATAGGCCCAATGGGTCCCGGTGGGGTGGCTGGAAATGGGCATATCCATCAGCGTAGTGGGTCCCAGTCCATGGTGAGTTCTATTGTTATGGTCCAGCATGAGGTACATGTCACAGGTAAGTATCACTCAACTATGAAATGAATTACTGAAACTAGAGATAGTAGCATTATTCGCTTGTAAATGAACCCCCCTTTTCCCCCTGTCTCACAGTGTACCTGGCTTTGGAAGTGTTTTAACAACTTGTGGCCTCCTAGATGAATTGGTTAGGACATGTAATATATATGGGGGGGGAAGTGCATATAAAGGTTTGGTAGAAAAGCCAGAGCGACCACAGGGAAGACCTAATTGTAAATGGAAGGGCCATATTAACATGCATTGGAAGGAGGTAGGATGGGAGAGCGTGGACTTGATTCATCTGGCTTAGGATAGGGACCAGTGGCAGGCTGTTGTGAATACAGGAAGGGACTGTTGTTTTTCCATAAAATGCACCCATTTCTGAATTACTTCTCTCACTGCCCCATGTTTAAGCTAAAGCATAGTGTTTTGCTTAATGGATGTGCGAACTGAAATTTTAAGTACTGTTTAGGTAAAATTTGTGCCTCAAAAGGTTCAAGACTGAAATGAATAACTGTCAGTACATTGGCTTGTTGCCAGTAATATCAGTGACATGTGGTGTGTACAGCCTCGAGCCAACGGACGTTACTCACGAGTAGCCAACCAGAATGGTGCTGCCAACTTTGCACCTGGACCAGAGTATGATGATCCCGCCAACTGTGCTCCCGAAGAAGATCAATATGGTAGCCAGTATGGCCAGTACGGTGCTCCTTATGATCACTACGGCAGTCGAGGTTCTGTCAGCCGACGTAGTGTAGGTACGTAGTTGAAATGTTTATAATTCACATTCAAAAAGTATCCTGCGGTTTTTTTTTTAACTTGGAATTGTTAAGAGGAAGTAGTTATTTCATCTGCTAATCTTCAGGTAGGAGACATTTGTGTGTTTTTTTTCTAGTCCCAGCGCCTTTTCTGTCTCTGCATCCGCTGCTGCAAGGGTGTTCATGTAACAGCAGAAAATGGTGGATATTTTGAAATGCAAGATTGTGTTTTATGGTTTTTATTTTCTCATGTATGAGAAAGTGTTGGAGATCACGGAGAAAGCTCAGGCTTAAGATTTTGATGGGTTTATTCATTTTCACCACTTTTTGAATAAAAAAAATAAATTGGTTTTTTGAATGTTGTCAGTCCATGTCTGTATGTGTCTCCCTGGGGCCAAAATGGTGGGAAGAATTTTTATTAATTTTGGTATGAAGGAGTTTGTCTGGTATGGGTCAGTGCCTGATGCATAGTAATTAAAATGAGTGCAGCTTGCTATGCAGTTAGAACTGTAAGAGGTCTCATGTCACAGGAAACCCTAAGGATGATCTACTTTGCCTATGTGCATACTATCATGGAATATGGGATAATTTTCTGGGGTAGCTCAGCAACTAGTATAAATGTTTTCAGAATGCAAAAGCGGATCATTAGAACTATTATGAATGTAAGAACTAGAGACTCATGTAGGGAACTATTCAAAAACCTAAAAATATTACCAATGTACTCACAGTATATATACTCTATAATTCTGTTTGTTGTAAATAATAGAGACCTATACAGTTCAAACTATGAGACCCACAATCTTAATACTAGACATACCACAAATTTGCACCTTCCCACATCACGCCTAACAATCTTTCAGAAAGGATCATATTATTTTGGTATTAAGACTTATAACCACCTTCCATCCAGAATCAAGAGTATGAGTAATGATGTGAAACTATTTAAACTGAGGCTAAAAAGATTTTTTCTTTCAAATTCTTTTTATTCCTTAGAGGAATATTTTAACCNCTCCCCGCGACTGCATCCGTTCTGCGGTGGTATGACTCACGGCAAATTGCAGCTGCGGCGCGCACTTGATTGTACGCACTGTATGTATGTAATTTTTGTATTTGTGTATTTTAATCTATTAGCTTGGGACAAAATCCATATCCACTGGTCAGCTGTACCATAAGGATCAACGGAATGTATAAATGTAAATAAATAAATGCAATATGAAGATTGTTGCCTCAGATACAGAAGACCTCTACAGGCAGGCTTATAAGTAAAGAGTAAACCTATCCCTGTAACAGGCCGTGAAGGCCCATAGGGCTGTGAGACGTTGAGGGTCCCGCACTATCTAGACAATTGGCTCAAGGATGGCGGTAAGGTTGTCAGCCTTACACGCCGGCCGCGCTTTACTCCCCAGGAAAATTATTTAATTAATTCCTGGTACTCATTTCTGTTAGAAGCTGAGTCGGGCCCAGGGCTATATTACAGCCAGAAGGATTAGATCAATTGAAAAATCCAGTGACCTCATCGGGACTTGAACTCGCGACCTTCTGGCTTGTAGCAGGCATGCTTATACACTTGAAAATGGCTGGAATGTTTTTGATTAAATTTCAGTAAGTTATGAAGACTGTCTCACTAAATAAAATCTAATAGATGGTACCTTCAGGAAAATAATGGTAGACTGTCCAATGGCCTCAATGCAAAATTCCAGTTTCCTCAAAAATGGGATGACCAATTTTGATTATATTTTAAATATTTGTAGAGTCACTTGATCTAAATAATATTTTATGGGCCAAAGCATCCTAAACATAATGGGATTTAATTGATATGCCCCCAGCAAGGGCTGAATCATAGAATATTATGTTCCTCAAAGACGTCTCTAATGATATTGTTTAAATTTCTCGAGTTTGTAGTATTGTTAACTCCAAATAAAACTGCATTGATCGTATTCCCAAAAAGTTACTTTCTGAAATGTTGGGTACGCTAATGAATGGCTGTGACACATCAAGTATACATATAAGATAATATGTTTAATCTCTTTTCACTTATATTTTTAAAATGTGTAATTCAAGATTTTAGGATGCTAATGATACCAGTTATTATAATTCAGATGCATTTTTTCACAGTTGTATGATTTATTTGCAAATTTCTACATTAACATAAGCATTTGCAAATACAATCATTTTATATTTATATCGGTGATACATTAAACTGCAATAGCATCCTAGACCACAAATGGGAACATATAAGTGAATCTTTTTACTGGTAAATGTTAAGTAGCGTAAACTGAACATTAATGCATTCACAGCATGAAACATTTTCCTAGGCAAAGACTGTAATACTAGCAGACATTTCACCAAACTATAGCAGGTGTGAAAAACAGTAACATCCTGAGTTTTTTATGACACTTTTTAAATTATCTGTTTTGTTTTTATCTGCTAAAGTGTACAGTTTTGTTGCAGACTTGTCTGTCAGATCTATTTGCAATCTGACATATGTACAGTTTTACTTAATTTTAAACTGAGTATACGCCACACAAAGATAGTTTAAAACTTATGCTTCTTAGTCATACTAACTTAAATCCTCAAAGTGAATACTAGAAATTTAACACCTATTAAGAGTAATTTCATCAATAAAGATTGACATTTTTATTACTTGATTTGTTTATGTAATTGTTGTTTATTGTCAGGTTCTGCCCGTAACTTGCCCTTGTCTGGGAGCCCTGAACCCCCTCCACCTCCTCCAAGGAATCATGACCCTAACAGTTCGTCTTTCAACGACTCCAAAGAAAGCAACGAGATCTCAGAGGCAGAGTGTGACCGTGATCAGCTTGTAAATCGCAATTACGGAGGTGAGTAATGACCGCATGAATTGGTATCTCTTTGAAGGGAAGTAACCTTTTAAATGAATCATATTTTTATATAAAGATATCTTCTCTACAAGTAATATCACATCCAAAATCTTCAGCAGTTTTCGACTATAAATTAGGCTTCTGATTCATAAGTTCATTCATTCATTTTCCTTGTATCCATGTATAGGTACAACCCAGGATATGGAAATAGTCCATTAGTCTTAATAGTGTCCATTTTAGAAACTGCATGTCCCATTTGGGGATCACAGCCTTACACCAACTAACTGGGATGGGTTAGCTAAGTGTGTACTGTGTCTGCAGGTCACATTTGTCCCTACATATTCTGAAAGGCATTCTGGGCAACATAATCCCAAAGAACACTGAGGAGTAATCCAGTTTGAAGCATTCATGAGGAGTTATATCAAATCCATTATGAATCACATATCTTGAGGTATCACATATCTTCACTGATAAGTGAATTAGAAAGGATGTGGAAGGAAGTGGTTTTGGCCTTATTTGAATTACTATATTTGCCTTTGCTAGAACGCATATTAAAACCCATGAAAATCCTCTCTTAATGTATAAGATCTAAAAGTCTGTGACAATGGGACATCAGTACAAACATTATGTTTTTGGACATTATCCATTGTCCTGTCTTTATCAAAAAACTGTTCTGTTTATTTTTCAAAACACAATGTTTCAGAGACAGAAAAAGATTGAAACTTCTAGAGAAGAAACCTTTATGGACATAATGTGTTACAGATCAATCTAACAATGGCTGTTTCCAGTAGAGCCAACCTAACAATATGTATCTGTGCTGTCATTGATATTAATCATGTGTATGATATCCGATCAGTGGTCATGCGACTTGGATCATTTGAATATTTGTGTGTCGACAGTGTACTGGTAAGCTCTACTGCCAAAGGGGCCATGGCCACAGAACTTGTGTATTGTGGGTACAGATAACAGTAATATTTTTAGTGCTGGTTGAATTTGTGCCAGCTACAGCACCAATGTTCTACCCTTTTCTTCATTGCATCTTGGCAAAAATAACTGAATTTTACAGTCCTGTAAATTTACATCCTGTCAGGATGTGACCTGACAGGAGTGAAAAAGGAAGATATCCTATTTGATATGAGCCAAAGTCAGTATATGCCACATTTGAGACATTTCCCCATTAGCTGCAGATGATATCCAAATTATCTGCTGAGTTAATCTTGGACAAGAACATGACATTGTAAGATGTGCAGGTTTCACAGACACCAAAACATTGATGACCTCTCAGATGTTCTAACTGTGTGAAAGTGGAATTAGTATGCCACGTTTCAGAGGTTATCTCTGCCATTATGATGAATGACAATCTGGGTGCTGGCTGTTGTTTATCCAAGTGGAGATTGTCTCTGAAACATTGGACACTAAGCCCAATTCATACATCATATTGCCTCATTGTACTTCATTGCAACATTCCAATACTTCATAGCATGGGTAGCCACCCATGTTAATGCAACTGATTCTTGTTTTGTTTTGTGTCATTATTTGCATTTTATTTAATGATGCTGTCAGCAGCTCAGGGTACATAGCATTGAATGGTATGATGATACAGGAATCATGAACTAAAGGATGTGGAAGTGGTCGTGACCTAATTTGTGATACCATCCCTTCGTTTGCCTGGAGGGACCAAGTAAAATTGTGAATAATCTCAGTAAGAGTATCCAGTCTATGGGCTGAAATATGAACACAGGACCTCCCAAATATGGTGAAATTCAGCCATGACAGTTGCTGATGGTTGTCTTGTTTCTGTGCTGAAACTAAAATTGAAATAGAAGAAATACTACCAGCTTTTGTCAGTTGGTAACTCTCGTTTATCTCTTAAATACCTTTTCTTACAAAGAAATAAAACCCATTTAAAGTGTGTTATGAATAATTGCAATTAAATAACAAAATCTGTGTTCTTTCTGTTAAATGTTTATAGGCACAACACTGTACTAATTGCTCTTTGTCCCCGCTAGAAAGCAAGAACTAAGCCTTTTGGAGGGGGGGTGATTAATCACAGTCACATAGCACTCAGAATATTTCTCATTTTGCAGTCGTTTAACCTTCAGTGACAGTAGATATTTAACCTGTTAAAGCGTAATGGTTACTATATATATCATCTGTTTTAACATTCGGAATCTTTTGCATTTTGCAGCCGCAGTGTACCAAGGATTTTGTTTGATTCTCACAGTAAACAGAAATGATTTTCCTAAGCAGACTTAACCAAATTTTCGCTATAAAGAAGTTTGAATGTGTTTTCTGTGATGTAGGATTGACTCTTTAAATATTATGTCAATAAATTTTATGTCTAAATAGCTCAGAATGCATAACTGTGCCAGTCCTGTTTTATATCTGAATTAGCATAATCAAGAAAAATTGCAACAAATTGAATGGTATTTATATGTGGCGTTTTGAAGGCTGAAATTAAAAGGATTGAAGTAAAGAGAAAATCACAAGTTAAACCATTATTAAACCTGATGTTGTAATATACAAGTTCCATGATCAGAAGTGGAAATGGCTTTTCAGAACTAGGTAGGCACTCCAGTACAGAACTGGGCAGGTGTTCCAGTTCAGAACTAGCTAGGTAGGTACTCTACTTCAGAACTAGGTAGACACTCCTGTTCAGAACTAGATATGTTCTGCAGTATAGAACTAGGTAGGTTCTCCTGTATAGAACTACGTAGGCACTCCAGTACAGAACTGGGCAGGTGTTCCAGTTCAGAGCTAGCTAGGTAGGTACTCTACTTCAGAACTAGGTAGACACTCCAGTTCAAAACTAGATATGTTCTCCAGTATAGAACTAGGTAGGTTCTCCTGTATAGAACTAGGTAGGCACTCCAGTACAGAACTAGGTAGGCACTCCAAATTAGTATAAACTCCCGGATGGGAGTTTATGTCCAACATATATCAGAAGGAAGTTATTACAGTGTACGCTTGTGAATTCATTCCTGTGTCTATTATTGTTGGGAAGGATAATTATGATATCTCAAGGCATCAGAAACTATCTTCCTTAAAATGAAGTGCTCTGGAACTAAACAGGTGTGTCTACCTGCATCCACCCCCTTTTCCAGCCTTGCCCATGATGCATTAAATGGAATGTATGAGCATTGTTAGCTCTGTAATTAGAGATGGCAGTTCTGTGGCACTGGTCCTTGCTCACATGGGGAACTCGCATGTTGCTTCAGTAGTCGTGCAACTTGTCTGCATGAAGGGTGCCAGATCTTTCTTTTCCGTCCATCTTTTCCAAAATTTGAGACGGCTTTATTTTGAAAACATAGTAACATAAAATAATTCTTTTTTTATGCATTGAAGTGAAATGTATGAAAGAGATGGAATACTGGTCATTAGAAGGGAATTATTACACTGCAACCGCATCATACTGTGCAGTTCAAAACACATCTCTAAACTCAGTCCTTTGCACATAGTGAGATAATTCAGGCATACATAGCAAAATCTGATGGAACTCATGTTAAAATACAAGTGACTCTTACTATATACATGAGTTGTGCTTCAGTTCAGAACTAAGTTGGTTTCTTCATTGTTTAATGTTAGGTCTGGGGAGACCATAACCTCAATATTATCTTGTTTTTCTTTAAAGTTGAATGCTTTGATTATGAGTGTGTGAATGGGTGCCCAATGTTATTAAAACATATTGTGGCTCAGAGAAGGGAAGAATGCTCAGTATTCATACCAAGTATTCCACCTCATCAAATCTGTGTTGCAGTTTACATTATTACATTTGTAGTTGTACATTTCTGTTGTGTGCTAATACTGTGTTTATGTGTTTTATTGGAGTAGAACTTTTTTTTTTGTAAAGGTTTGTGTCTATCTTGTGTGTTATAACAGTTTATATAGGTTAACAATATCTTGTGTTTCAAACTGGTGCGAGCAGTTTAAAACTTCCAACTGCTTGTTCCACTGGTGTCTTTTTTTTTTCTTCTTCTTCTTGTGGGAGTCAGTCAAGCAGAGAGGCCTGTATTTTTATTTTGCTTTCAGTAAATGTCAGGGCCAACAACAAGGACTTGACTACAGAGGAAATGAGAAAGCTCATAGAGAGGTCAGTGAAATGACTTACTCACCCTCTTTCCTGCCACACACTGCATTTCCTTTGTTCTCACCACGTTTCACATAAAATCACGTTTATCTTCAAAAAGAGCAACAGAACACTCACAGAAATGGACTTCATATTCATACATGAGACCTGAGGTTCTCATGGCGGCGCAAATTAAAGTTATGCACTTTGAGTGTGTGATGTCAATGAATTTAGCAGATAGGTACAGCACTGTGGAGGAATTGTCTTCCTCCATCTTCAGAGTAGAAGCATCAAAAAGCAACTTCAGTAAGATCAAACACAAAGTTAAAAAATTCATGAAGTATAAGACGGATTATTCCATGAACAGAATTTCAGGAAATTTAATATGACACATGTATTCTTCTGCATATGTTTCATTGTGTTTGTTGAGGCTAGAAAGAACTGCAGATGAAACATTATATTATTTAATGACCATTTTCTATACATAATTTCTAGTAGTATAGATTCTGATTAGGGGCACATGGTAGTGCAGTTGGTTGAGAAGGTTATGGGTTTGATTCCTGATGAGGTCACTGGATTTTTCAGCTGACCTAATCCTTCCAGTTGCACTATGACCCTGGGGTTGACTCTGCCTCTAACAGAAGTTAGTACCAGGAATCCTCCTGGTGTTAAAGCATGGTTGGCACATAAGGCTGACAGCCTCGCTGCCATCTGTGAGCCGATTGTCTACAAAATGTGGGAGCTTTGATGTCCCACAACCCTATCTGCCACCATGTCCTATTACAGGGATAGCTTTACCTTTTTGGATTCTGATTGGTCATATTTAACATCATATTTTTACAGTATTATCCCACCCCCTTTGGTGGGGGTTATGCAAATGGTATTTCATGCAGGATTTTGAGTTACTGTGTGTTTTAGGATCTTCCTTCGTCACATCACAAGCCTCCCTCCTGTGATGGCTACCATGTTGGTATTGATGAAAATAAAGGTGACCTCTAGTAGTGACACAATGTTCATACCAACACACCAATTGTTATGAATGTGTAGTTATTGAGTCAGAAGTTAAGAAGGGGGAAGGGGGATGGGTATAGTCGTGATCAGGGCCCAGATTTTGATGACATGTCATCTTCTTTTCCTTGTATCCTATGCGATGCTCTTAAATATATAAATCTCGGATATGAGCTGCTGGTTACAGAAATGTAAATTTTATAGGTAATTTTTTGACATTTTTTTACATTTTTAGGTTTAATGTCATTTTTTCATTTTGGGGGTAATTTTTTGGTAAATTTTTGGACTTTTAAGGGTATTTCTTGTCATTTTTGGCCATTTTAGGGAATTTTCTTCATATGTTTTCTGAAATATGAATAACATGGAAGTGAAGTGTTCTTTCTTTTCTCCTTTAGGTCATTTTTCTGAATTTTTTCGGTCATTTTGTAGGTCACTTTTTTTAATATTTTCAGGTCATCAAAATTCAGGCCCTGCATATTACATTTTTGGGTCATATTTAGGTCATTTTTCTGGATTTTTTAAATATTTTCAGGTCATCAAAATCCGGGCCCTGGTCATGATGATATAATTATATCTGATCTGCATGCAATAAGGAAAATATGCAAAAATAACAAATAAATGTTAAAAGTCATGAGTAAGTCTTCCTCAGAGTATCTCCTAAAGCATGCCACACCCCAGCCGCTTTATTCATGGGAAACCGCCCCCAGTACTTGGCGGATGGGAGGCTGGATTGTGCCAGAGCAAGTCTGGACACAATGGCAAGAAGATAAATATCCATATTTGTGAAAAATCAAACCATGATTTCTTGGTCATTAGTCTGTAGTCTAGTCATTGTACTCTCTGAAGGACCCAGTCTGTGTCCAAGAAGTGGCTTGATTGTGCCTGATAGGCTCTGAGGTACTCTTGCATTCAAAAAATTGTGTCAGGATGCCATTTGTGCTTGAGGACACAAATGAATATGAAGTCCTAGCTGCGCCATTTTGGTGTTGTGAAACTGTGCACACATCACAAGGAAATGCAGTGCCTACTTTGTCATTAATATAACAAGCACTGTGTAATGGCCATGGTGAATAAACTGTACTCCGTTAACACACATTTATTTATTTTTTTTTTAAGCATCTGTGTTCAGAGTTGTATCTAACATGCATGGGTTGCTTTGATTCACTGGAATATCTTTTGTTTGTTGATTTCATTAACTTTCAAGCACTGTTTTCAGGTGCACATGCAGTAAACCCTTGCTAATCTGGTTACGGTTAATCCGGATCAAAATATGAAATGTGAAAAATGAAAAATTCTGTTCACAGTTGAGTACGTACTTTAAAAGACATGTGGGATTTAGGAGCAAGAGGACTTTCAGAATGTGTTGAGGGAAGCTGGAGAGACTGAAACCACAGAAGAAAATATCCAAGATTGTCTTGAGCTGGGTGAAGGAGACCCTGGATTTCAGCTTCTGACAGAGGAAAAAATTGCTGCAGTGAAATATGTTTATTTATTTTCATCAGCACTACCTATATTAATAAATTTTCCATTTATTTGTTTTCTAAGCTTTTCTTTTTTGTCTCTGAGGGCTATATTTTTGCTTCATTAATATAGAATATCGGCTAATCCGGATGACCCTTCCACACAATTTATCCAGTTTGACAAGAGTTTACTGTATGAAAATGTTAACCAACTTGTGTTTAGAGATGGAAATATTCCACCATTGCTTTGTGATATCATATTTTTTGCTTTGAGGAACTCACAACAAAAGTATAGACATAATAGATTAATGTTTTTGACATAAATGGAATTCTAACCTTTATCAGCCATGTGTTGCAGTATTGTAATGTTACAGTGATTGCATTCCATTAGACATAGCAATTCATTCTGGTTAATGGGGAGGGATTTAAATCCCCTATTCCCAGGTGATAAAGGTTAACATATTGCATAGACGGAGTAGTGTGTTTATGTGCAAATTCTGAAAACATGGTGGATGTTGACTAACACACAACTCTGCATCTCTCTCACACTCACAGAAATTGAAAGAATAACTAGCATGTTTTGCTTTTTTGTGTGCACTACTCTTGTTGTCATTCAACAGTTCAGTTTATTCCAGTGGTCAGAGTAGCCATGGATTGTGCTTTTATGTAGAAATTGATGTATAACATATATGGGGGATTTCTCATTTCATGAAAACACAGGAAACCGTAAGTTACAGATGAAAGCTCAGTAAGGAGGTGTAAGTTTACTAACAGCAGTAGTTTGTAGTGAAATGCCTGTTGAATATTTATTTTCTTTGATTATAATTTCTTTGCATACTGTGCAACCTACATAGGCTGAGTTCTGCATTGTGTATGAACCCTAGCGTGAAATGAGCTTTATAATAATTGAAAGGAGGAAACTTGCTGAGGTATGAGAAATTGAACACCTCTCCTGAAAATACTAAAAAGATAATATATGAAGATAAGTCAGAAAGGATCCACAGCTTATTTATTAAAGTAGCACCATGGCAGTACATCACTCACAAGTATATCATTTTTGGCTGTAGTTGATGTAACATCGCACAGACTTACATGTTATTAGGAAACAAAATATTCTTGATGTTGTATGAGTATAATTCTAAATCTTTTTGATGACTGATAGTTGCAATGAATTGTGACTATTATTTTCAGCATGGTCAATTGAATATTTATTTTAACACAGTCTTTCAGAAACTGGGTCTGTTTGTGTCATTCACTATAAGGGGTTTGTACTCAGTTGGGTCTCTTAGAAAGAGTCAATGTTAGTCACTGGACCAGTGACTAGTGGTTCAACTGAGTAGGAGCCTTTTCCCTTTTTACAGCTAATGACACAAGGAGATCTAGACTGTGAAACCTATTAAAAACACTCAAGACATGGACAGTATCCAAAATAATATTCATGAACTAGAAAGACATCCATATAGTTATATTTAGGTATATCCATGTTCCAGAATATTTCTGGGACATAAATTCGAGGCTTAGAAGAGTACCTCATCGGGCTTTCCTCTTTTCATTTTGTTTTTCTATACAGTAATTTTGAGCCTTTTTTCTGGGTCCACTTTACAGTATGAACATAACAGAAATGCAGTGTGATTGTGATTTGATCGAATCAAAGGTGGAAACTGCCATATTGCACGAATTTTATGTAAATATCTAGAATCTCCTCTGAAGAAAGCACTAAATTTCTGATCATAACCCAGATTGCAATGTAAGGGGAGGCTTGTCTGCTGTGGTGAATGTGATGGATGCTAAGAAAAGGCTGTTGCTTTTATGGCATCAGTATTGGAAAATATTCATCTTTAAACTCTGCTGAACCGACTTTTCTTTAGCAATATAAATTTTGCCCATCACAGTGATAACAGAAAAATTAGAACTGTTGTCATCTTTTCAAGTATACTACAGCAGATGTGAGACAGGACGGTCCAAGAAAGGGTTACAAGATGTAAGTTCTTGGTGTTTTGTGTTGGTGACTGTTCAGATTGTGGCCTTATGAACTGTGACATCATGCAGTCTTGTAGGTGGATTCCAAGATTTCACAGAAATGCCTCAGTATTCTGGATTGACGTGATTAGGGTGCAAAAGTGATAGGTGGGTGCTTCCTCCCAAGATGATGCTTCTGTATCTGTGCTTTTCAAAAAAAGAGCTGTTTTCTCATTACCTTCATCCCGTCTGCAGTAGACGTCAAGAGCACCACCTTTTCTCACAATACCACGTCCCTCCTTTGATGATAATATTGTGGTTCATAAAATGGTTATTTTCCTCACATTTCCTGATAACTGTTCTATTGACCCAGATTTGGTTGCGTGTCCTCCCCTCCTGTGGGTCTGAGTAGCTACCTCCTTGCAAGTGGCCTGTGTAACCTAACTGCTCTTTCTCATCTTAACCTGAATATGGAGGCAACATGTTTCTCTGAAATGTTGGTATCCACCTACAAAACTACACAGTATCAAAGCCCCCAAGGTCTCAGTCTGAGCACCAGATATCATCAAACTTTTGTACTGGAAGAATTACAATCTGTACCACTACCTGTGTTTACAGAAGCTGTACAGGTTTCTGTTTTGAGTATATTGTAAAGTGAACATTTTTAAGTTAATTTCCCTGAGGTTCTTTATTGCACAGTTCTGGAGTGCTGTTTGTAGCTTTAGTGGTTTGTGTCTCCACAGAAGTTTTGTTTTATAGAGCAGTTTACTACAAAATTCATGAGATGGGTTTCTCATGACAGCGGTTAAAAAGATTACTGTTTTCAGGCATGCAATGCAATATAATGTGAATATTAACCAGTGTTTTTGGAGAAGCTTGCTGTCTCCATCTTCATGGTAGGATGGTGGCGGCGAGTTCTTCCAAAATGTAGTTGACATCACATCACAGAAAAAAGTAATCTTCACTACTACAAATTTGAATCAATAATTGTGTATGTCCTGAATCTGGATATAAAAGTACATGTAAAGAACACTTATGAGAAAACTTTCAGAAATGTTGATAGAATTCTCAGTGTTTCACAAAACATTTGACCGGCTTCTTCTGTTGTTTCTGTGCCCCCCCCCCCCCGTTAATATTAATTTTATATATATTTACCTTTTGACAAGTTTTCCTCTGTTTACCCTTTAAATTTTTACCTATAAGTGATGAATATTTGCTCTATTTTTAATTTTGGTTACAACACTCAGGAGTATGGCACTGAGAAATGTTCAAAAAGGTTCTAAGAACAAGGTGGCTTTATCTGCCACGTAAGTTTATTTGGTTATAAAATATTTTTGTACAAAATTGTATCTTCTCTTCTTCATTTTCTATTTTATGTGATTTGATGGACCAATAGTCTTCAGTCTATTTTCTTCCCACATTCCATCCTCTTTTATTTACTGCCCAATCTTTCTTTTTTTGCTGTCTTCTAATAGCTGGCTGAACCATGTTGTTTTGGGCCATCCCAAAGTTCTGTTCCCCTTAAATTTTAATTCTTATGCCCTTGTTCTAGCCATTCTTTTTATGTTTTCTTCTTTAACTCTGTTAACAGATTTTTAATTCCAACTCCTCAAAGAGTTTTATTTTTAGTAATGTCACTTCATGTTTTATTTTTAAATGTGAAACAGTGAAAATCATCACTGACTAATTTTTACATTGATATCAGAAAAGAAAAAGACCCCATATGGCCTTAGTATAGAGCAATGATGAAATTATTTTGCCTGAAATGATGCTTTAATGATTAGTATATACCTTTGGTCTGCATTGTGTAACATAATGACATTTGATACCAATGATTCTAGCCTAGTTTTTCCCTGTATACATTACATAAACATGTAATATGTATGTACTTTCTTAGACCCATAATTTTTTAGAAAGTCTTTGGCTTTAGATTAAAATAGAGTTGTCATTTGAAATGACAATGAAAGGTTTGAGTCCCAATAACGTTTTGACAACACTGTTTCAGTTCCTCCTTTTTCAGCATTTAGTGTGTCGTATTGCTCTGAAGCATGCATGATTCATACAGTTGGATATTCAGTGTGCTGTATGTTTTGTTAATCTGACATAAAATGCAACTCTGTGATTTTATGTCATTAACTTCTCAATTACTTATTTTTCAAATTTCACCTGCAACTGCCTTTACATTAAAATCCCACACATGTATTTCAAATCGCTTTGAATGTCTTGATTTTTAAGTAGCAATTTGATTTCTATAGAATAGAAATCAGACTTGAAGGAGATTCAAGAAAATGATTGGACTTTGAAATAGAAATCTGATTTCAGCAGATTAACATTCAGGCACGTGACCAAATTCTGAAGTGGCAGTGATTTCAGGAGAAAGCTATTGAATTTTGAAATAGAAATCTCATTTCAATAGAGTAACATTCAGGAAAGTGACTGAATGTTCAAATAGCAATCGAGTTTCAAGAGATTAATTAATATGCAGAAAGATGATCGGTTTAGAGTATCAGTCTGATTTCAATAGATTAACATTCAAGCAAATGACTGAATTGGTAAATACCTATCAGACACATGCAACATGAGCCTTCTAAAGTGTGCTAATCAGTTACAAAATTCAATATATTACTGTGAACAACAATCTGGTGTCCAGATTCTCCTCCATGTTGACCTGGTTTCAGAACCCCCTCATTCATTACAAAATTTGGAATTGAGAGACATGCAGCATGGAAATTCTTGGAAGAGAAATTCTCCCATTTCCTGTGTTACTTAGTCTGCCAAAAATAACTTCAGTAATATATCTGTGCATGGCTGACTTGTTGGTATTATTAGAGTGATCAAACAAGCAGGAAGAGATGAGCAGGGTATGCAGCATGCATGAGATGGATAGAAATTTGCTCAGACTACTGGTAAAAGTCCTGTATGGAGGAGACCACTTGGAGGATATAGGCATAGGTGGAAGGTTAATATTAAGTTTAATATTAAAAGAATATGGTGGGAGGGTATGGATTGGATTATTATGTCTTGGGATAGGGATTAGCAGTGAACTTTTGTGAATATGGTGATAAACCCTCAGGTTCCATAAAATGTAGCTTCTCAAGAAGGGCTCTAATATATAGATTTTGTCTGTTTATTGGTTGGTTTGTTAGTTAGTTACTCAGACGGTTGGTTGGGTGTTTGGTTCTTTGATTCTTTGGTTTGTTAATTAAGTCAGTCAGTCTGTCACAAAAACTCATGATACCATTAAACCAATAACAATTTTAACTCTTTAGGCAGTGATTGAAGGGGACTTTTATTAAGGATAGGCGATGGGTTGAAGTGGGCACAGAAACTGAGAAGTGAGAATTGTATAAGAGAAGGAAAGTGATTATGTAATTTGACTGTTATCAACATTAATGGTTTTCAAATTTCAGTATCATCGAGAGCTTGAAGTAATTTGAAAACAAAACAACAGTTCAAATACTCATAATGCTGCATAAATATTTTGAAAGTCCCATTTACTTTTTTTAAATATACTGCAAATGTTATTTTTATGTTGTTCTTCTCTTACTCACTCTTTAGAAGGAAGTTTTACTGTGTACATATTTTCAAAGCAACATGTGTCTGATTTTACGAACTCACCACTCTTCTAACTATTTGTGGAACAGACGTGAAAAATTAATCATTTGTTCTTTTCCATTTTCCTCCAATGTCTGGTTTACATTAAAGCAATATACATTTATTTATCTCTGTCTGTAAAATATATATTGCTTTGGGAGAGAACATTACTGTATGCTGCAATTAAAATCTGTAGTGTACATATTCTTGTGAACTTACTTTAGGTACTCTGCATCTAGTGTTATAAGCTGAGTGGTTTCTAAATCTAATATGGAGGAGATGGATAGAAATAGGCATTTTAATTCTGTTTCATTCTTCTCTCCAACTTACAATTTAGAAGCACATTTTCAGCATTTTGTGACTAAAGAAAGAAATTTAATGATTTACTTACGTTTTTGGAATTGGTTTCAAAGAACAAATATGATTTAACTATATGAGAAGTTTGAATTTTTAAAATGGAAAATACTGTTGATAACAATTTCTAATTATAGTTTGTTCTGTTTTCTCCACCAGAAACGAAGCAGGGCACCAAAACGGACTCACAGTCACACCCTACGATACTTTGGCAGTGTAACCTTTAGTTCCAGATGCAGGAAATACAGCTGTGCCATCGTCTGTTGCAAATGGAACCAGGAAGCATCAATTAAGCTCTTTATTCCTCTGACATCAGAATCTGTTTTCCATAAGGGTTACATTCCTGGTTCCAATTTTCAACATTTTCAAATTATTGTTTTGTCCAATTTTAATATCTTTTTTTTTTTTTTATTATTTATGTAACTTTTTAAACAGTAACATCATGTGTCCATGTTCCCATGTCGGCTAGGGAAGGCAATTGAAATGATTCTCTGGCAGATCTCCTTGATATTTGCTTTTGAGTTTGATTTAAATGAAAGCTCAAACTTTGTGACATGTGATATTTTGTCGTGTATGTATGTTTTAAGTGTCCACCCAAAAAGAAAATGACAGTTAATCCTTGGATGTAATGAAGTGTAATCAATTTTCAGAATTATCAAATTTTATCTGAACAGCTTCATGTACTAACCATGACGGTACTGTGCTTTGATTTGTTTACATCATATTCTGAATGTCGTCTTCATAACATTGTATACTCTACTACTGTTGTTAGCATTTAGCATGTAATGTTTTTTGTCATGATCTACACGACCTCGTCGGTTAGTGTGGCTATGATTATTTATGCATTGAGTCCTTTTCTGATATTTTGAATGAAACCCACGAAGAGAAAGACCTTGCTGTAGGAACGTGAGATTATCCTTTAGCTTTGCTGAGTAGAGTTTTGTTTCGTTGGCTGTAATGTATAATACTAATGTATCGAGTTCGTACTTTCCAGGGTTGTTCTTATACGCAGTAGTCCATAAGTTTCATGAATGCGGGAGCGCCATAAGTTAATCACATGTCGTAAAAGTTAAGCAGAATGCATTCATTATATTATGCATGCAACAAACATAGCATAAACCATATATTAACAAAAATAAGCTTCTAGCAGAAGTCACATGGCTATATTACAGAATATAGTAAGCGCTTTGAAAATGTGTTTAAACGTTTTAGGTAATACTGTGTTTTACATAATCTTCGAGACAACAATATTCATATAGTGTTCTTTTTTCTGTGTGTTTGTATTTATGTGGGTTGTAAACGTTTACTGACAGATTTTCCAGGAGTTTCTTGCATTACATGAGTATTGTATTTTGTATGATTAGGATTTTAATAGTTTTTAGATAGAATTTCTAGCATATTAATTCCTTTAAGTTTTAATTGAATGATTAGATGTTTCTATTTGTATAATTAAATTTTTGGAACGTAGGCTACTCCACTCAGTGATGCAAGAGATCTGATGAGCAAAAGAAACAAGAGCCACAATATTTATATGGAAGGAGTCCTCGAACTGTTAAATTTGTTTATAAATCTTTGAAATCATGTTGGGTTTTCTGTTCCCTGGGTTTTGGGGACTACCGTATTAAGTGTGAAATGAGCTATTTGTACCAAAGTTGTAGAAGTAATGAATTTTTTGTGTTATTAAAGATTTACAGTCAAATCCTTAAATTGTGTCATTGTGTTGGAATCCACTGTCCTGTTAATTTGAGACCCCTCAGTATCACTGTTTGCATCTTATTTCATGCAGCTTGCTAATCACTAATCTGAGTTAGCTTACATTACTGGCCTTTTCAAGAACATTGCCAAGTTACCAGTAATGTGATTCTGTCAACAACTGCATGCACTACTTTCTGCATATTTGATCTTTGTTAATTTGGCCATCTTAATGCGTGAATGTGAAAATTGAGTGCTAAGAGAAAACCATAGGAAAATACAACAGAGAAAAGTGAAGTTTTTTAGAGCAGTGGGAGAAATGGTACCCACAGATGAGTCATACAGAAGAAAATAAAATTTTCAAATTGTTAATGAAATGCAAATTCCATAGAAGGTGGGAATTGGGATGGCCAAGGAAAGGATGAAGAGATTAGCTGGAGACTTAACAGATTCTTTAGCCTGATAATATGGGAAGAATATTTTTTTGAGTGACCCTATAGGTTTGTAAAACTGAAACTGCCTTCAGATTGGACTCGGGCATTGTTAACCGACACCTCTGTTGATACCAGAATTTACATCATACAAATCCAAGCCAAATGGACATTATGTAGACAGTTTTCGTTTAATAAGCTGTCTCCTTTTTTGTGGTTTAAATTTAAACTTGCCACATTCAGCATCACAACACATTTTATGTGACAAGTCCTAAATAGGAAACTCAATGGAGGACTTCAAGCCCTCTCAGGTTGACACACTGTGTAATATCGTGGTTAATACTCAGGTTTTATAGAACTTCAACCATGATGATGGAAACAGCATGTTACTTGAAACGTATGCATACAAGACTACATGGTGTCACAACCAAGACTACAGTCTTGCCATGTATTATCTTTGGTACGGTACACTGCGTTTCTTTGTTTGTTCTGTGATCTTTGCTTCTGTTGTCGGGCGCGTCGGGCGTGTAGGCGATTAGTGGCGTCCATTTGTAGCTAGAATGTGTTGGAGAATGGAGGTAAGTTAAGTAAGGAAGAGTTAAGTGTTGTTGTGTTAATGACTTATTTATTTATTTATGTTCATGGATTATTGTAAGTGATATAGGACAAGTCAAATACTTTAGAATAATAATATACTAAGATAATACAATGATTCTAATAATGAGCGTTTCGCATTGGTTCCTAGTAGCATGTTAAGTATATATTTTCAACGTACCAAAGTCAGTATTTAATTTGTTCTTGTAAGCTTGCTGTATTGTGTAAATTGTTAAAGAAAACTAAGCGTTAGACGCGTTTCAGTACGTGTATTAAGAAAAGTAAGCGTTAAACGCGTTGCACCACGTGTATATTTGTGGCCATATTGAAAGGATTCAATGATGTTTCAAGTTATCCCTGGCATATTCATTTGTGACTGATAATCTCTTGACTGAGAATCCACATGAATGCATGTTTAATGTAGTTTGTTGCTATACGGGTATATAGCGCGTAATTACCATGTTACTAAGTTTCGTGGGCGAAGTGGCCGTTGAGAAGAGAGTGGCATGATTTAAATTTATTTTTCCCCCGCAATTAATGGAGCCCTTTAATGGAAACATTGCCCAAGTTTTGTAGTGCAGGTGTGAGATGCGTCGGGATTACATTGCTATAGAGATAAGCAAAATTAACTCTCTTGCCATTTAACAAACATTTTGTCGTAATTGTGCTCGCAGCTGTACACTTTTAGCGAATATGAATGGGTTGTGGTAAAGCTATCCCTGCAACAGGCCGTGGAGGCCCATAGGGTTGTGATACATTGAGGGTCCCGTATTATCTAGACAATCTTCTCAAAGATGGTAATGTCAGCTGGCCGCGCTTTACTCCCCAGGAAAATTAATTCCTAGTACTCATTTGTGTTAGAGGCTGAGTTGACCCCAGGGCCATAGTGCGGCCGGAAGGATTAGGTGAATTGAAAGAAATCCAGTGATCTCATTGGGACCTGAACCAGTGACCTTCCGGCTTGTAGCATAGTGCCTCAACCAACTACGCCACGAAACTGTTTCGTACAATACATACCATTAAGATCTAAAAGTTTGTGATGATGGTAAATTGTTACAATTAATATGTTGCTGGACATTATCCATCATCTTGTCTGTTCTTAAAAAACCGTCTAGTTTCTATTAAAAACAACGTTTCGGGAACTGGATTCTGTCCCCGTCTTCAGGTAAAACCTACTCAGTTGGGTCCAATAGACAGAGCTAGCCCCTATCTCTGGTCCGGAGATAGGGGCTAGCTGTCTATTGGACCCAACTGAGTAGGTTTTACCTGAAGACGGGGACAGAATCCAGTTCCCGAAACGGTGTTTTTAATAGAAACTAGACGGTTTTTTAAGAACAGACAAGATGATGGATAATGTCCAGCAACATATTAATTGTAATACATACCATGCCCAACCTCAGTGTTCCAAGTTTTAAAATGTGGCACTAAAGAAGTGATGGCCAAGATTTGTTTGGAAGGTGCCTGGTTCTGATTGCAGCTGGGATGCCAGTGTGCTTGGTTAAGGTATATCATGGTTTTGCTTTGGCCCTGCAAGCAAAGGCTGGAATAGTACACCTGTTAGACCACTACCTACAGGTGCAAGTTTTTCTCTGAATGTTTTGAATTTCCCCTCCTAATTATTGCAGTCATCCTCCATAGTTAACCTTTTGTTCATGGCTGGTATAATATGCCAGTTTCAGTCTGCAATACTGTGGGACTTTGTCCCAAACCACTTCTGAGATATGAAATATATAAAGGATAGGCATAAATAAGTAGTTGTCTGAGTGTAATGTATAAGAATACTGTGAGTAGTGATTATTTGAATTGGGGTGCAGTGTTCAGGACAGTGCTAACCAAAAGGGAGACAGGCAGTGTTATACAATGCAATTACCCCCACGTGAGGATGCTAGGACATCACTTGATGAAGATATGGTTTTGGAGGGTTCCATCATAGTGTTGTGCTTTGAAGGTGACAATCAGCATGTAACCATTTCCTTTGTCTTGCTGTAGTTGCTCTGATAAGCAAGTGAGGTTTGGTTTTGTACTGTGTGAATGGAAGATGGTGTTGCTGGGGACCATGATATAACTTGCTGCATTGAAAGTAAAACCACTGTTAAAATTTAATTTGGTGGCTGTGATGATTTAATTGTCTCGTTCGTATGATGTGAATGATTATTTAAGTATCTGAGCTGTGGAGGTAATGTTTGCAGCTGTTCCTGCGCTGTATAAGGCAGTGTGTAGCACTTATTTTTCTCTATTTAGGCTATTCATGCCATGTTAAGGGGGTGCCTTCTCACTGGGCATGGCGTATCCTCTCGTTGGCAGTTGCGGAAGACGGCCTCCAGATGTGGAGGGTAGCTGCAAAAATATAATTCTGTTATGAAATATTACAAATGCCCTCAGACTTGACTGGATTCTTCAGATAAATGGCTGAAGATAAGGAGAATGGACATGAGATTTGGTATGTGAAATGTGTAAGACTTCTGTAGGGGGCAGGTTTGCCCATGAGAGTGGCAAAACAGATAAAATATAACTTAAGATTTAGTGGGGATACATGGCATTGGTTGGGAAATGAGTGGTACCAACCTAGCAGGTAAATTTTCTGTGGAGATAGGAATGGGAGTTACAAATTGGGTACAAGGTTTATGTATGCACAAGACGTTGGATTTAAACTCTTATGGGGTGCTCTTGAAATACCACAGTTCTGGTGAGATTTTGTTGTGAAGTCTTGTACTGAAGGAGCAGCCGCCAGGGTTTGGCTCAAGAAGGGAAAGATTTTTCTCTTCCCCACAGTGACCAGACTGGCTCCGGGGCCCTACCAGTCTCTTATGCAGTGGGCATTGGTTTAATAAAGCAGCCAGGTAGTGAATATACAGAGTAATGAAGCAAAGAAAATGATCAGGTTAAATAACTTTGGTGGATGTAAGAAAAGGTAGTCACCGCTTAATTAAGCACCGTGCTACAAAGATGTGTGGAGTTGGGGTACATGGAAACCATTCTGAACCTCGGCACTAGGTGGGAGTGACTTGTGAGTTTCATGCCTTGATCACTGGAGTAAGGGAGAAATTTTGCCTGCCTGTTGCTCTAGTGAGCTATCCCGGCTTTGAAATAACCTCAGTAACAAATTTGCTGTTTAAATACGGCTTTTATACACACCGATGCTCTGAAATGCTTGTAATTTATGTAACGAGTTAAAGGGGTTGGTACCTTGACTAACATTCATGTTTGCATCTTATGTTATTTTTTTCCCCCATAACAAGAAACAGATTGTCCTTCCAGAACAGTGAAAAGGTAGTTAGCAATATAAGAAGAATTATAAACCTGTATAATTGTGACAGTGATGAATATTTACCGCCCCAGTCTGAATATTGTGATGATTGGTGTTCTGAGTGTACAGCTGCTGTTTGCCACGCGTGTAGTGTGTGTAAACTCGTAGACAGTGTTTCGGAGAGGAATGAAAAGTGGCTTGTTTATTGCAGGATTGTAGTGTGTGGAATAACCACGTGAAGTTTCTGCAGCCTCTCCTGGAGATCTGTTTTCATCATTTTCCTGTAAGTTTCTCATCTCGTTGCTGACATTGGATTACAAATAGTGTTCATTATAAGTCTTGTAAATTGAAAAATGATAAGTGAACCACAGGTTGGCTCGCCAGAAACCAGTGTTGGATCGCCTTTAGATGTATCACATTCCTTGACCATCTGGCTTCAGGTGTATAGTTTATAGAAATGCTGACATATCAGGTGGCTTCAGTTGTATAGTTTATAGAAATGCTGACATATCAGGTGGACAACACGGGCAAGTTTCGCTTTCTCATGACAGGTTATTGGCCAATATGATTTGAGGATTTTGAGTGAACAGAATTTTCATGATACTGAATTTTTTTGTGGTTTGGACAGGAGAAGCCACCAGGAGCCAAAGTGTAAATTTTGTTCCATTGATTAGTTATTAGATTGCATAAATTTTTGTTTATGGACAGATGGCTAAAATTTGAACATTCGGTTCAGTAATTGTGTTAGGATGTAACATTTGGTTTGCTAATGGCTTCTCAAAATATAAAAGTTTGTTGCATGATTAATTGTTAGGATATGACCTTTGGTTTTAGGGTATGAAATTTGATCTGTTAATTGACTGTTTGAATGTAACATTTGATTCGCTAAATATTTGTTAGTATATATAAGGATTGACTTAAATAGATTGTTAGGATACAGAATTTGGTTTACGTATTATCAGCGAGATAAGTTGATTTATTGTTGTAATAGGAAATTTGGTTTGTATAATGTAGATTTAAAACACTGTTTAAAGGATTTTAAGAGGTGCAATAGTATTGCATAAGTTTTATGGTTGTATATATGTACTTGTTGATTTTATTAGTGTTTTCAAATATTGAATGTTTATTGGTGTATTTGTAATAATTACGTGATTGAGTGGAGTAGGAACTATCCACAGATGTTTAACTGGAGGCAATTAGGTGGGGTATTCTAAATTTTGATGGTGGTCGCGTTGGAAGAATTTTGCTGTTGCAATTTTTCACCGCGACAAAATTGGTGACAGCATTTGGATGATAATAAGAAATTGGCATGCTTCACCCCCCACTTTTATAATAAACTGGCTGCAAGGCGTGTGGCACAATATGTCATCCATGTTATGGGTTGAGAAGCCAAGCAGGAACCCAGCAGAAGCAAGTGGCGAGCTTCATGCAGGTTGCTGCATTCTGTTGGTTACTTGTTTGGTAATGAGTGATTTTTGTGTCTGGTTGGGTCTGCCCGTAATAAAGTGGTCCACTTGTGTTTGCTCTTAATGTAGTTGAAACTGAGTGTTAAAAGAGTATAATGTTATGTGGTTTGATTCGGGTTTTTACGCCAGAATCCACAGTCCAGCTCCACACTGTGGAACTGTAGCAGGTGTGGCGTTTATACTGTGGAGAGTGAAGCGGGCTGCTAACAAGCTATGTTGGCTTGCTTACATGTGCAAGTACAATACGCAGGGCAGCTACAGTGCATTCAGTCATATGACTTAGTTCGGGCGGAATACAAAATATAATTCCCATTCTTATTTCTTCCTTCCAAGATATTGCAGTGAACAGTAAGGTATTGAATGCATTGCTCACTTCTGAATTAATCATTCATAATCATATAATCAGCTATGTAGTTGAAGAGCTTTTGTACTTTTAGCTAAACTTTATTATGCTGTGTCCGTTATCCAGGTTCAGGTGGCATTTTAGTGCAAATGTTGTTTATGCAATGAATTGTTTTGCATTTGGCAGAAGTGTGTTGTGTTTGAATTTGTTAATTGAATGAAATGATTGTTTTCAGGTTGAGTGTTCACGAGATAGTTGCCCTTGTGCAGTAATGAAATCTGGTGAGTTCGTTTGACTTATGTTTTGGGGTTAGAGTGATGAAATGATGAGTCACTATGGATACCAAGTTTTGATTTCATGATAAAGAAACTTGCCCTCACTGAATGTTTGTAAAGTTGGCTACTCTGCCGTGTTTCTTTGATACTCTTCTAAGGATGAAGTATGTTTCAGGTGTAATGGTGGCAGCAGTGATGGATTGGAGGTGTATCATTGCCTTTTTGCTATCTCTGCAGCTGAACATGTCAGTGAATCGGTTTTGTTTGTCAGGGCTCCCATGGTACTGGTTTAAACAGTGAACAGCTGTCGTGTATAGTGGGTGAGTGGTGTAAGTATATTTATGGCTTCCCACACCCATCCCAGTTTGTATGATGCTAGGACCTACAGTAATTGAGAAACCAAAGTTTTGTGGCTATACACATGGGAAGTGAATTTCCTAACAAATTCTCCTCTTAATGATGATGACAACTCTCCTCTTAGTGATGATGACAACATGACAAGCATATGTCTGAAGTGCTGATGCTATTTGTAATCTGAATGAGGCGTCTTGACGTTCATTTTTATGGGGCATCAAGAATTGAGCTATTTATATGTACCATAATGTTTTGATATGAGTAAGCAGTAATAGACTGCAGAGGTCTGTAGATTTGTGAGACATTGAGGTCCCTGTGTTTGTAACAGTTGGCTCACAGATGGTTAACCTTGTAAGCTGGCCACTGTTTGTACCCAAGAAGGTTCCTGGTATTCGTTTCCATAAGAGTTTGAGTAGACCCTTGAGTCTCCGTTTGGAAGGAATAGGTTAGTTGATAAATCTCGTGACCTCAGGTAATTCAAACTGGCCTTCCAGCTTTTAGCTTGGGGGCTTAGGGCACAGACCGTACCACGTTTAGCATTCTGTGTAAATAAAGGTAGGCAGTAGCAGATCGCACAGTTATGTTGAGTCAAGATTCAACCACGAACCCTGAATGGCATGTTATCGCAGTAGTGTTGGGATAACATCGGCAGTTTTGAGATAGTGCACCTAACTGCAAAACACTCTTGTAACTGTTTTAGTTATAAATGATCTGTAATAGTACAATGTGTAATAAATTTTGATGAATCTTCGCTGGAAATTTGAAGATACGACNATAAAGTGAATACAAACCAGTATAAATATTGTACAAAGGCAAATTGAAAAGTCTTTACCCCTATTTTTTTCAGCCAAAATTTAAGTGTGATTGAGTAACCAGGTTATACATTTGATGTGACGGTATGCTTCGACCAGCTGCAGTCAGGAAAAAAACCTGGTGATTCTTGTGAGCGATGTTCTCCATGACAACGCCAGGCCTCTTGGCAAACAGGACCGCCTCAGTCGTTTGGATGGGAGATTGTGGAGCATGCACCATATAATCCAGACCTCACCTCAAGTGGTTACCATGTATTCTGTCCACTGAAGAAGTTCTGGCAGTGGTTCTGCACTCAACCGGCTGAATTCTACAACAGCAGCATCTCCCAACTAGTGGTACAATGGCACAAATGCCTTAACCGGGTTGGTGACTGGAAAAAAAAGGTACGTGGAATGCTGCCATTTTACATGTGCAGTACTGATTTTGGTATTCCTAGCCGGTGATTAGAAAATACAACCCAGTCAATCTGAATCTGTTTTGATAGATGAAACATTCTGAGGCTAGGAAGAAATTGAAATTTGGCGCTTGGCATCATGAATTTGTGTGGCCTACTAGGGGCAGTGGCCATGTGTATATACATACATGAACTACACACACAGGAATGCAGATGGGGGTGGTGGATGCCCCTGGAATCTTCAAGACTCTTATCTATGGTCATTTAGCACGAGAAGGGAATAAAATCATGCAAGCCAAAAACCAGCAAATAACTAATTTGGCCCAATTAGACTAAAACGTTTGTGATATTAGGTACTAGATTCTGTTAACACAGTAATCAACGTACTGGAGATCTCTTGCAGAATTATCATTCTGATGCACATGTATTTAAGATTTGTTGAAGTCAGTATTTAGTGATGCTCTAGGATAATCGCTGGATTGTGAGAAAAAAGGCCGTCTGTTCATTGTAAATGCTAGCATATTTAGTAGTGTCGATTGCTGTAAGTAATCTTAGTTTTGTTTTTTAATTCCATCCCAGTAGTGTGGCCTCTTTTTCCTCCTGCGGATTGATCATCGGTGTGGATTGACTTCCATTGCAGCAGTTCTGTCGCCCGTTTATCCTGCTGGAGATTGATGATCAGTGCGGATGGCCCGACATTGGATTAAGCTCTTGGTGTTTTTACTTGTATGTGTGCTTACGGAGTTGAGCCATTCTTGAGGAGCTGTCAGTTACGCAGCCACTCAATTTCAGAGCATTTTATGGAACCAGAAGTTTCATTGCTGTGCTCACAAGAGCCCTCCATTGATCCATTTAGTATTGTCCACCCATTATCTTCCCAGTGATGTCTCCTCCTGGCTTTCCCACCAATATCCTATATGCATTCCTCTTCTCCCCCATTGGTGCTACATGCCCTACCCACCTCATCCTCCTCAACTTTATTCTAATTATATTTGGTGAAGAGTACAAGTCACAATGGCATGGCGAGTACTCAGATTGCAGATGGAGGAGAGGCCCTTGAAAGTGAAGCTGCGAATATATTGCATAAGCAGTTGTGGACAGCTGGCAAGGTTGGTCCTCCAGCTTGGGTTTGGGCTAACAACTTGCCAAGAAAAACAAACTTTTATGAAAATGTTCATAAAACCTCAGTTTTATGTGTATGGGAGATAAATAAAAAGTCTTATTCACAATTGGAAGTTTTTTTTATTTGTGTGACGTTATTGTGTATTTGCCCTTTATCATTCAAAGTTGGAAGTTTTTGTTTGTGTGAGATGGTGCATTTGCTTNAACCAAGTGGTATGTTCTGTAATCTGTGGTGCTGAGGAATCATGGTCACAAGATTTGTTCTATGATAAAAGTGGAGATACTATGACGATAAGGTGAGGTTAAGGTTGTTAGGCCGATACAAATTTTTAGTATTATTGCTTTAGTGTGGTGTTTTATGTTTTGAAGTGTAGTATTGAGTGTTATTTTCGGTTGTATTAATGTAGGATGTCTGATTTGATGTAATGAGCAGAATACGTGTGATGCCCCGTAATCTGTTGCAATAATTTTTAATTATAAAGTGTTTCTGATCGTTTTTAAATTACATTATTTCATGAAACTATTAACAGTAACAGCAATTAAGTTGAACATAAAAATTAAGGTTTCTATAACAACCCAGGTAAATTAGTAACTGAATATAGTTAAGTGCAATGAACAAAAATCAAAGCTTATATAACAACCCAGGTAAATTAGTAAATGGATGTATAGTTAAGTGCGACTTTGAGACTTATGGCGGTAGCTGCACAGTACTCACATCCGAGACTTAATGCAGTGTAGTAAGTACACTGTAGTATAACAGACGTTTTACCACCAATTTTGGCGGGTACATGACTTGTTTACTTCTGTAGGTAATATTGTGACCTGATACGTCGTTTACCGGTTTACTTGACGTTACATTACATTGCAGAAGATAGAACCCCACATAATTTAAAAGAATGTTTTCTACAGGTTCATATTATGTTTATAGTCACAGAACAATGACCAATCCCTGAGGTAAATTTTGACTGTTGTAGTGACTTAGATCTTTCGGATAGGTTAAAATAGTTATCTTATGTTTAAGATGTAAATAAATCCCCAAATTGATAAAGTGATTGTGGTCAATGAAAGTAGGTGCCCCTTCTCTTTGACATTTGGAAGATCACATGAGGGGCAGGTTCTTCTGTGTTATGTAGTTTAGAGAAAATCCCAGCTTTCAATGGAATATACAGCCTCCATCTTCAGGTTTGAAAGTTAAGCCAAATGAGAAGCAGGTGGCAATGTAAAAAGGTCATGTCTTTGTTCTTCCTCAGCTTAGATCCAACGTTACAACGTTACAGAATATAAGAATTCTAAATGAGTTTTATGATCACTTTTTCATGTGAAATTTTTTGTTAATTTTGGAGGTTGGGAGGTATTGCTC